TGCGCCAAAGACTACTTAACAGCAGGGGGCTGCAGGGAATGTCATAGTTCTGCAGCCAACGAAGACGGCTATGACATTCTGTGATATCGATCCGGGACGCTGGATCGACGTACCTGCCTAATCATGTCTTTCCATTTCCGCGATGGGATGTGGCTAACCCAAGAACCACCTTGCCGATTAATGATTTGGACCTGGTTTCACCTGTTTATCAAGGATGATGGACTCAGGATTCTACCAGGCATGTACAACCACATCGTCATTGCAGTTCACTTCCAAAAAATCAACAGTGTGCATTAGTCATGTGTCCTATACAGACCATGACCTCATCATCCCTAATGGGGAAGAACAATCTTGGCATAGTGTGCCGAATCCGCCCTCTACGGAGGCAGAAGTTGAGCGAGTAGCCATAGGGGCTGCTAGAAGTGATGGCAATAGCCGAAGGGGGGTCAAGGACAATTGAAGGGTGGCATAAGCCGAAGGAGTGCCCAACGGGCGAATGGTGCCCATAGGGCGAAGGTGGCCATGTGCCGAAGGATTTTATTGGCCGGGAACCCTACTTCTTACTGTCATTTTATGAGTTTTCACCTTCTCTTTCAAATCAATTTACAATTGTGAGGACAAGAGATCAATTTGAAGAGATCTAGAATATAGGAAGACCTATCACAAAAGTGTGCGGACACACATAGTTTGTGATGCTCGAACCAAGCAGAATGTCAAACACGGTAGGGACCTTATCGCTGCAGATGTGTGTACGATCTTGATTCATGTTTTCGAGGTTTTCTACTGAGCGAACACTTCAAACCAATCCAATAATTGAGACCATAGTCTTGTGAAGTACCTCCTTCGCCATAGCTTATTTTCACTGGGATGTGTTAGCTACCGACAGATACAAGGCGCATCTATGGGCTCACAGTGGGCCCCAGTTGTATGTTCACTAGTTGCCCTACATCGAGAGCACACCTACAGCATGCCTTTTGGACAAGCCATTTTTTCTGGAAAACTTTTTAGTTCCTTTCGTTATGTTGACAACCGTCTGCTTTTGGGTCCACAACAACTCACTGATCGCCTTCGACAAACTTGCTTTTGGAATTTAGACTTCTACACCTCGCCCATTCTTTTGGAAGAAGTACAGGGTTTTGATGCACTTGGATTCAACATCAATCCACATCAACGTACCATTACATCGGTATTGCCTTGGGACACAGTGATACGCACTTCGCTGGTTTTGGACCTAGAAGCTCCATGTATACAGGTCTCATTGCTCGAACACGTCTAATTTTACAAAATACTTTTCCTCGTGAACTTCAACTTCCTCAAGTTCAAGACCTGCTCGCCCTTCATACCCTTCAGGAACCTAGATACCGCGAATGCATTCCTCAGATCATTTCGATTGCCCGCAGTTTTGGACACAAATGGACCAGACAACAATTGACACCGTTTGACTGAAAAGAAGCCGTTGTAGCTGCATTTTGGTTTTGTGCTTTTCATTCCAATTGCAACTTTGCAACTGTTGCAACTGTTCAAACGTTTTTCTGCAACATCCCACCCAAAACGCCTGGCTCGCAGTGTGATATTTGTTTTTCCGTAATTGATTATATTCAGTTCTCCAGCTTAGTTTACGTCCGTTGTTCTACTCTATATGGTTCACGGTACTGCAACACACTGGCTTAAGTGTTATATAACTGTGATTTAATCAATCCATTTACTGTTTTTCATCACTGCGTTCTATCTCAACCACCTGACCTACGTGTTCTACGCGTCGGAATCTCAGTTTTTGGCGAATTCTGCCCTTCGTCCATAGACAACTAATAAACGTTCATTTTAAACGGATTTGTGGAAGAACAAGAATACAATCGATTTGTGTCCATTTCATTTCGTGGTATCCATGTTTCAATTGAAGTGCAGTTCTCTTCACTTTTTAACACTCCAAAGTCATACTGTCCTTGCTCTATTTGTTCCACGCGTCGGCAACCCAGAAGTGTCACCTTCCTTATGAAGACATATGTATATATGTGTATACCGCTCTCCACACGCAAAGTGTTGCGCAATCTGCAACAAACAATTGATGTTCGTGAGGGACAAGGGCACGATAACTTTGGATTGCATCATATTCAATTATTTCGCTAATACAAACTTTGGATTGCATCATATTCAATCATTTCGCCAATAACAATTAACACCTTTTAATCTAACCATGTCCTTTCCATTTCGACTTTATTTATCGCGATTTCTTTGATCTACGTGGTCTACTTGCTCTACACGCAGTCTTTCAGAATTTGCCTTCCATGTGAAGGGGGTGCCCAACGGGCGAATGGTGCCCATAGGGCGAAGGTGGCCATGTGCCGAAGGATTTTATTGGCCGGGAACCCTACTTCTTACTGTCATTTTATGAGTTTTCACCTTCTCTTTCAAATCAATTTACAATTGTGAGGACAAGAGATCAATTTGAAGAGATCTAGAATATAGGAAGACCTATCACAAAAGTGTGCGGACACACATAGTTTGTGATGCTCGAACCAAGCAGAATGTCAAACACGGTAGGGACCTTATCGCTGCAGATGTGTGTACGATCTTGATTCATGTTTTCGAGGTTTTCTACTGAGCGAACACTTCAAACCAATCCAATAATTGAGACCATAGTCTTGTGAAGTACCTCCTTCGCCATAGCTTATTTTCACTGGGATGTGTTAGCTACCGACAGATACAAGGCGCATCTATGGGCTCACAGTGGGCCCCAGTTGTATGTTCACTAGTTGCCCTACATCGAGAGCACACCTACAGCATGCTTTTTGGACAAGCCATTTTTTCTGAAAAACTTTTTAGTTCCTTTCGTTATGTTGACAACCGTCTGCTTTTGGGTCCACAACAACTCACTGATCGCCTTCGACAAACTTGCTTTTGGAATTTAGACTTCTACACCTCGCCCATTCTTTTGGAAGAAGTACAGGGTTTTGATGCACTTGGATTCAACATCAATCCACATCAACGTACCATTACATCGGTATTGCCTTGGGACACAGTGATACGCACTTCCGCTGGTTTTGGACCTAGAAGCTCCATGTATACAGGTCTCATTGCTCGAACACGTCTAATTTTACAAAATACTTTTCCTCGTGAACTTCAACTTCCTCAAGTTCAAGACCTGCTCGCCCTTCATACCCTTCAGAAACCTAGATACCGCGAATGCATTCCTCAGATCATTTCGATTGCCCGCAGTTTTGGACACAAATGGACCAGACAACAATTGACACCGTTTGACTGAAAAGAAGCCGTTGTAGCTGCATTTTGGTTTTGTGCTTTTCATTCCAATTGCAACTTTGCAACTGTTGCAACTGTTCAAACGTTTTTCTGCAACATCCCACCCAAAACGCCTGGCTCGCAGTGTGATATTTGTTTTTCCGTAATTGATTATATTCAGTTCTCCAGCTTAGTTTACGTCCGTTGTTCTACTCTATATGGTTCACGGTACTGCAACACACTGGCTTAAGTGTTATATAACTGTGATTTAATCAATCCATTTACTGTTTTTCATCACTGCGTTCTATCTCAACCACCTGACCTACGTGTTCTACGCGTCGGAATCTCAGTTTTTGGCGAATTCTGCCCTTCGTCCATAGACAACTAATAAACGTTCATTTTAAACGGATTTGTGGAAGAACAAGAATACAATCGATTTGTGTCCATTTCATTTCGTGGTATCCATGTTTCAATTGAAGTGCAGTTCTCTTCACTTTTTAACACTCCAAAGTCACACTGTCCTTGCTCTATTTGTTCCACGCGTCGGCAACCCAGAAGTGTCACCTTCCTTATAAAGACATATGTATATATGTGTATACCGCTCTCCACACGCAAAGTGTTGCGCAATCTGCAACAAACAATTGATGTTCGTGAGGGACAAGGGCACGATAACTTTGGATTGCATCATATTCAATTATTTCGCTAATACAAACTTTGGATTGCATCATATTCAATCATTTCGCCAATAACAATTAATACCTTTTAATCTAACCATGTCCTTTCCATTTCGACTTTATTTATCGCGATTTCTTTGATCTACGTGGTCTACTTGCTCTACACGCCGCTACCTCAGAGTGCCTTCTTTGGAAAGACCTGTCCATGAAGATGCAGGTGCGTATACACCTAATCCCAAGCATGAATTTCATTTTCGAATGAGTTCAACGTTGCTTATATTGACGTGATCTGCTTGCTTCATTAGGCAGTCTTTCAGAATTTGCCTTCCATGTGAAGGCCTTTGTGTGTGTGTGTACACTGCTATTCACATGCAGAAAACTACAACTGGACATTTGATGACTATGCGCGTTATGTTTTCCGAATTCATGCGCCAAAGACTATGCACGTTATGTTTTCCGAATTCATGCGCCAAAGACTACTTAACAGCAGGGGGCTGCAGGGAATGTCATAGTTCTGCAGCCAACGAAGACGGCTATGACATTCTGTGATATCGATCCGGGACGCTGGATCGACGTACCTGCCTAATCATGTCTTTCCATTTCCGCGATGGGATGTGGCTAACCCAAGAACCACCTTGCCGATTAATGATTTGGACCTGGTTTCACCTGTTTATCAAGGATGATGGACTCAGGATTCTACCAGGCATGTACAACCACATCGTCATTGCAGTTCACTTCCAAAAAATCAACAGTGTGTGTGTGAGAGTGCAACCTGCTAAACCACGCTGAACCCCTCAGCCGAAACTAAATCACACTCCACAAATTGCATGCAGCTGAGGAATCAACTGTGGGACTTTGCACCTGAAGAAAAGGCAGGCGCGCTAGTCACAGAATGAGCCTTGCAAAATGCAAGGCAAGCGGCTCAAAATAGAAGCATATTATATTGTCAGGTTCATCTGCCATCAAGAGCATGGTCTGGCTGAATCGCTTTCCACTGGCTGACGACTGAAAACCAAGCGATCATGTCCAACGCTGGGAAAGTTTTGCTGCATGGTGCGGGGCTTGAAGCTTGGATTGAATCTGGCTCACAGACGCTCTGATCAGTTGCAGAAGCTTGAGGGTCTGAATCGTTGCAATGGGCATGTCTAGGAGGCAAAGATTCAGCAGGCCCTCAACGAATTCAACCTCTCCATGGGCGACAAATCCCTGTACGAGTTCACCGGGTCAGGTTGGGGCCTGTGATTTTCTACTAGAAAATGAATGTTGTATAAATTAGGGACCCAAGAAAATCTAGCTACAGACATCAAACCAATTTGAGGTATCTTAGAAACAAGAAGTGCATTTTCGAAGCTATGGATAGCATTTTTCTTATAGAAAGACATCACCCTGTTTGAATTGCATGATGTTGAAATTACGAAATCAAAATTTTTGAAAACAACTTCCGGGGAATGGTTCTCTTTTTCGAAAACCCAACATCCAACCCTTCGAATTATTCGACGGCTGCAATGAGATGCAGCGAGATGCGGCAAGTGTTGCAAACTTGGACAGGAGAGAGATGGGACTGGATTTTAAGCAAAATGACCTACCAGTCCTCTCTAGAAAATCAGGGACCACTAGAAAATCTATGAACGTCCTCCCAGAGATGCTAAAATTATGCTCCTGGATTTTGGGCACTTAAGCTACTAGCACCCAGAAAATCAGGGTCTTCCGACTCAGAGGTCTCCAAAAGTTGTTCTGTAGAAAATTGGGGGAACTTCGAAAGCATAATTTCAAAAAAATTGAGTTTTTCGAAGGGCAGAAAATCAACCCTCCTTAGGGGGGTTAACCCCCCTGAAATCCTAGAGGAAACTCATACCGGTATGGCAACAACAAAGAACGGGTAGGACCCGGGTACAGTAGGAGTGGATTGCTGATTTGAGAGATTGAAAAGAGTCCCAAATCAAATGCGCTGCTGTGTGCACCCTCTGAGAACATTCGACACATATAATATAATATATGTACCCGAGGACCCATGCGGCCAGTTTTGTGGGTCATGAGGCATATGGCCGTAATTGCCAAACGCCCAGAAAAAACAAATTAAAAATCTTTCGTTAGAACCCGAAGAGACAAAACCATTGCCAAACCCTGATATCATTAAACTCTTGAATCCTTAAAGGATCTTAAAGGTGCGTTTGCCAATGCTTCTTTACGACGACAGATTTGCGATCGTCGTAACGCCCAAAAGCAAGTGGCCAAATCTGGCCAAAATTGGGGCTGTATTGTACCTGACCCCTAAAAACATAGTTCACTGCACCAATAAACAATATTGTGATGACAATTTCAGCTAGCCACACATAGGAAATCCATTTATTATATTTTATTATCATTTTCATCACCACCCAAAACATCACAAGATCATCACCTATTTAGTCGAAACCGTACGAGGTTAGTTTTCCATCATCACGGAATGTTCCCAAAACATGCAACAAATCTTGCCAGGGTCGCGAAGATCACTGTGGCAATCGCACCGGTAATGGCATAAACAAAATCAACATGTGCTTCAGCGAAAAACCGAAAATAAATCGAAAAAAAAAGAAAACCGAGTCCTTTTGTTGCAACAATTTCTGGATTTTGCATAATTTGACGCAATTTGACCATTTTTCCAGCTTCCAAAACGGGCCGCAGCAGCTCTGGAGGCTCTTCTCCATGTCCGAGGATCCGGGCTACCGTGATCTTTTGGTGAAAATTTCAGATGACCCACATGAATACACAAAAACAGCTGTCTAAGCAGCCGAAGACTTTGAGATGGTTTTGATGATAGCCGCTAGCCAAAATGAGGATTTTTTGAAAATATTTGCTTTTGTGGGCTCCAGCCTGCGGCTTTCAAGTTGTCATAACTAGACGACGGATGGCCCGAGAGCGTAGAGGAGCAGGGTCTTCTCTTGTTAGTATGGAGACACCATATTACAAAACAATATATGAAAGATGTGTTGTAGGCAGACGAGAAGAGGAGTATCAAGACAATATAGCACAAGTACAAGACAATAGTTTGCATCGCAAACACTTTTACACACAGAAGCTTTTACACACAGACGCTTTTACACACAAAAGCTTTTACACACAGACGGCTTTACACACAGACGCTTTTACACACAGACGGCTTTACACACAGACGCTTTTACACACAAAAGCTTTTACACACAAAAGCTTTTACACAAAAGCTTTTACACACAGAAGCTTTTACACACAGACACTTTTACACGCAGACCCTTTTACACACAGGAGCTTTTACGCACACAGAAGCTTTTACACGCAGACGCTTTTACACACAGATGCTTTTACACGCAGACACTTTTACACGCAGACGCTTTTACACACAAACGCTTTTACACACAGACGCTTTTACACACAGAGGCTTTTTTGCACACAGACACTTTTACACGCAGACCCTTTTACACACAGGAGCTTTTACACACAGAAGCTTTTACACGCAGACGCTTTTACACACAGATGCTTTTACACGCAGACACTTTTACACGCAGACGCTTTTACACGCAGACACTTTGACACACAGACGCTTTTATACACAGACACTTTTACACCACAGACACTTGTACACACAGACGGCTTTACACACAGACGCTTTTACAGACAGACGGCTTTACACACAGATGCTTTTACACACAGGGGCTTTTACACACAGAAGATTTTACACAGACGCTTTTACAGAGACGCTTTTACACACAGACACTTTTACACACAGACACTTTTACACACAAACGCTTTTACACACAGACGCTTTGACACTTTACACCACGGAGTCTTTTACACACAGAAGCTTTTACACACAGCACACAGAAGCTTTGACACAGACACGTTTACACACAGAAGAAATCGCAATTTTGCCTCAGTTTTTGACAATCGAACCTCATTTCGTGCGAAAAGGTTGCGCGGGACGACTTGGAAATCGCAATTTTACCTCAGCTTTTGGCGATCGAACCTCATTTCGTGCGAAAAGGTTGCGCCGGACATTTTGAAATCGCAATTTTACCTCAGTTTTTGGCGATCGAACCTCATTTCGTGCGAAAGGGTTGCGGGACTAGAGGGACGACTTGAAATCGCAATTTTACCTCAGTTTTTGGCGATCGAGCCTCGTTTCGTGCGAAAGGGTTGCGCGGGACAAGTTGAAATCGCAATTTTACCTCAGTTTTTGGCGATCGAACTTCATTTCGTGCGAAAGGGTTGCGGGACAAGAGGGACGACTTGAAATCGCAATTTTACCTCAGTTTTTGGCGATCGAACCTCATTTCGTGCGAAAGGGTTGCGTTTCGTGCCGTCTCGTTGGCACTGCCCCTGCCCCCGCCTTCAGAAGAGAAATAGAAAAGAAGGAGAGGGCAAGAGGGCAAGAGGACAAGAGGAGAAGATGTGAAGATGTGAGGGCAAGAAGGAAAGAGGGCAAGAAGGCAAGAGGAGAAGATGTGAAGATGTGAGGATGTGAAGATGTGAAGATGTGAGGATGAGAAGATGTGAAGATGAGCAGATGTGACGATGTGAAGATGTGAAGATGAGCAGATGTGAAGATGAGAAGATGTGAAGATGTGAAGATGTGAAGATGAGAAGGTGTGAGGATGAGAAGATGTGAAGATGTGAAGATGTGAGGATGTGAATATGTGAAGATGATGAGAAAATGTGAAAGTGAGAAGATGTGAAGATGAGAAGATGTGAAGATGAGAAGATGTGAGGATGAGAAGATGTGAAGGTGAGAAGATGAGATGAAGATGTGAAGATGAGAAGATGTGAAGATGAGAAGATGTGAAGATGAGATGAAGATGTGAAGATGAGAAGATGAGATACAGACCCCCGCTATTGGAAGAACCCTGCGCTCAAACGCCCTCGGGAAAAATATTGTTTTAAGTTATATGATAATTATATTTCAACTTCACGCCCATATTTGGCAGGGTTCTGGGGGGCGCTTCGACAAGGACGCTTTTCTGCGTTTCTAGCGTAGGATTCTACGAACCATTCTTCTCCAACAATGCAGCCACTTCCAAGCTAAGACACTGGCGAAGTCAGCGTAGGCGAAAGCCATTTAATTTTAACGCAAGCATCACTCAATCAAAATGAACTCATGTAATGGCGGCACAAAATTAAGCGGATTATTTTTTGCAGCAAAATTTGGAGGCACACCCCATCAAGAAAGCGAAGATATAAACCGGAAATTGGAATGAACGAGAAATGTGCACGGATGCTACATGGCAAAATCCAAAACTCAGCAAATGTGTAGACCCCAGGGCATTGATGGACAGCTGGTGGGATTGAAACAACCTTTCTACGAACTTTTCGGACAGCAACAGCCCCCCGAAGCCTTGAAAACCACAAGGGATCAAAAAAAAAAAGCAAACCCGTATGCCCCAAAAAACGGGCTTGTGGATCATATGATATACCTGGAAAGCCAAAAACGCAAAATTGTCTGGTCATTAAGGGAAAAAGCCGTAATGATCAGTTTTTTTGGTAAAATATTGTTTCCACCCGCAATTACCCAAAAAAATTGTCAAATCAAAAGAACATTGCAGTCCTACAGTGCCCGTAGCAAAACATAGCAAAACCGTACTTTTTCAACATTTTGTTGAAAGAAAAACGTAAAAACCGTAGAGCAGCTCTCACACAAGCCTACTACCCGTAAAAACCTTTTTTTTCGACATTTTGTTGAAAAAAGACCATAAAAAGCCGTAGCGACTCTCACACAAGTGGCTCCACAAAGCCCGTAATGACCAAAAAAACGGTCAAGGCCGTTTGAACAAACAATGGGATTATGGCTTTCCAGGCAGGTATATATATATATATGTTATATATAATTATATTCAAACAAATCTAAATCTAAGATATATTGGTTCAAAATGATTAAAATGGATATAAATAATCCTTTCCTCCTAATACGACCCCACCAAATAATAAACACCTCAAATTTTATTATTAGGTGGTGGTAATTATTATTAGGGAACCTTATTAATAAGTTTAAAACATTAATAATAAAAACTATATGTTTTTCGATTTCAAAATCAATTAAATTATCTTTCAAAACGCAAGTAAACTGTTGCCAAAAATCAGATTTCGAAGCGGACCCGACCCTATTAATAAATTTCAGACCTTAATAATAAAAACTTGTTTTTCCGATTTCAAAAGCAATTATATAAATATCCTTAAGTAACGCAATTAAAATATTGCCAAAAATTAAATTTCGAAGCGGACCCTACTAATAAATTTCAAACCTAAATAAAATAAAAACTATTTTTTTCGATTTCAAAATCAATAAAATATCCTTAAATAACGCAATTAAAATATTGCCAAAAATTGGATTTCGAAGCGGACCCTATTGATAAATTTCAGAATTAATAATAAAAACATATAAAAACTATTTTTTCCGACTTCAAAATCAATTAAATTTCCTTATATAATGCAATTAAAATATTGCCAAAAATTGGATTTCGAAGCGGACCCTAATAATAAACACACCAGGGCTAACTAGTTTTTAGTATTAGGGGGGCAAAACCCACATATGGTAGCTTTATTTTTAAATTGTTTTCTAAAGGGGATCAATTAAAAGTCAAATTGGCCAATCTGAAATTTTCAGAAATTGGAGATGGACCATGATGGACCCCTGTTTTTAGTATTTCGGGGACGTTTAGGAATAGGAGGAAGGGTTTGGACAAATGGACAAACATGTGTTTGTGATTGATATCAGAAGGCATTGCAGGTGCGCGACACCAACAGGTTGCCAATTTTATGATCCCTTTGTATGATTTTTTATGACCGGATGGAGAGCAATTTTGTGTATAATTTGGTCTTCTTGGGCCTGAGACAGGCTGCCGGTTCCGTCGATATCCAAATACTCGAAAAGTTCCTCCCAGTTGTCCACGCAAACAGCAGCCAAGACCTTTGGGGGCAAAATGTCCATCGGAACATTCTGCAGCTCATCCCTGGTAATCATGCCGCTGTTATCTTTATCAATCGTGTGGAAGATCTTGAGGAGGGAAGGCATTGCACCCCTGACTTTCTTTTTGAGAACAACTTTCTCATCCTCTGCTTGTTGAGCAGCGTGTTCCATTGCATTTTCGACCAAAGCCTTAGTCATGTTTCGGGCATCACAGTACTTGTGTGCATGTGTATGCACCATTGTGAAGACACACAAACACGCACACACACACGTGTGATCAAGTGTGTATGTACGTGCGCGCGCACATTCATACTACAGTGCATGTGATTTTACATTACATCACGTTGACATCACATGTTGGCGCCACATACAAATGACATCCAGTAACTAGCGTCGCAAACACGCATATACTCAGCAAATTTGTTAGACTTAGCTGTCTGTTGCGTCCACAACAGCATAATTGCAGCATGTGACTTGATATTACTGTACTTTTTTCCAGAAGCAAATAAAGAATCACGACCAGAAGGTATGCACAAAATCACCGCTACCCGCTAATGATGTTGCATGCATACACAGGACAAATGCATGTCTGGAAGACAAACATTAAGCCACAGTAAATCACTTTGTGGACTGACACCAACTACCAACTGCCTCGCGTTCCTTTGTGTGGATGACCGTGGTTATCTAAAGGAACATTTGCACGCACACACCCATTCTGGCAAGCACCTTAGTCAGCCTTCTCACAACCTTGCCTGTCTATCACCGCTGCAAAGGCCAACATGGTTCCCCGCGTCCTGCACAACAGCTGCTTCTTTTCAAAGCCGCTGCTGTCAACCGAAAACTTATACATGTTCAGAGCCCTCCGCCCTCTACAAGAAATTGAGGGACCACGAGGGATCCCTATGCGCTGGCAAAGTCTGACAGGTCCTACATTGGTCCTACAGTACTACATGACATGTATGTTAGCACAGCTTCACTGACTTTGGGCATCTGTTCAAAGCTGAGAAGCAGCAGTGACCAAATTCATCAACCCAATTGATACGAAAATCAGGATAGGCAGGAAGAAGCACAAGAGCAAAGGTTCTTCCACAATCAATGGAAAGTAAATCGTTGCCAAAGAATCCATCGTGACAAACTGCATCAGCGTCATCACTGTCTTGCCCAGGTTGCCAAAATATTCACTGATGATGAATCCAGTGTCTTCAAGCCCTGCAAGGCGTTGATCCTTGCTGATTACTTCTACAGCAACGCAGGAAAACACAAACATAAACACCAGGATCAATGCGCTTGTTGCCAGGATGGTCTCTGCAGCAGTGAGGAGACCATAGACCAACCGCCACATGATCTTGAAGTGATTCACCATCCTCGGGACTATCCGCAATTATGGGCCACTGTGGGACTGCTGATCTTTGGGTCGGAGCTGTGGGAAGCTTGTTTTGATATTGTTTGGCCCAAGCTGCTCTTTGTCATTCTAGATATTCTAGGACCGAGGAGTTGAACGGATTTGGGGCCAAACTTTTTGGAACTGAAGCCATTCAACCAATACTTAGAGACCTGAGTTTGTATGACAAAAGGATGCAGCAGGTCCTCAATGCTCTCACCAAGCGCAGCAACCGAAGGCCTCGTACTATGAGAAGTTTTTCAACCCCTTCCATAGATGCTGCTCCAATGTTGGGTGCGACCAGCAGGGCCAGCAAACCGATGGTCACCAAGGCCACCTGCTACACGCAAAGATTGTGGGAGAATTGAGAAAACCAAATATCTCAGAGTGTTTGAGCGTTTCAGATGTTTCATGAAAGCGCAGCTTTGACGGCCCATAGCTTAGCGCTTGGGTGTTGGAGTCGCACAATTTTGATCCCGACACGATTGTGGGTTATGAATGCGAAATAGAATGGGTCACTTCTTCAAGAACTATGGAAGTTGGAAACGCTTGACAAACCGGTGAACAAATTGCAAGACCATCCGGCATTTCCAATGCCAAGCGGCATCCATCAAAAACCAACCATCCCGAAAAGCTGCACGGCCATGTGCCACCAATCGCAATGCTGCCTCTTAGTCTAAGGTGTCAACAACATATAACAGGTCATCATTGAAGACACACAAAAGAACTGACAGAAACTTACAGAACGACATAAAGCAACACAGTGCATTGCCTATTCAAGTAATATCAAGTAATTATGCAATCCTATTCATGCCTATGAAAACCATAGTGATATTGAGCAAATAAGAGCCGGCAAGAAAGGTCCATAAGTTAGTCCATAAAGTCCAAATTGGTAGTGAAATTGGAGATGAGGGTCTGGACGTACTGCAAATTCCGCTTTCTAGTTTTGTATCTTAACATAGCCAAACAATGTCAAAGTGCTAGATCACCCATGCATCCCATGCACAGAAACATGTTTGGTGCTCGATCCTGCAAAAGCGCCGCAACTTCAATGATGCTGATGCTGCATTTTAATTACATAATTTCTTTGTGACTATCCCCCTTCTGATTATGATCGAGTATGCACGTGTGCTGGAAACGGCAGCAATGAACAAAACACCTGCTCCAACCCGCGAACCCGAACACACATCACGTAACCCCTTTCGAAACAAGTGATCACAACAGCAGCATTGTGAATTCTTCCCGTTCCCAGACTGTCGCGTGTGGAGTGGTGTGGAGTGTAGCATGTGGAGTGTAGCATGTGGAGTGTGGAGTGTGGAATGTGGAATGTAGAGTGTGGAGTGTAGTGTGTGGAGTGTAGAGTGTAGAGTGTGGACATGTGTGTGGAGTCGAGTCTAATTAGTGTAGAGGGTAGTGTGCGTAGTGTGGCGTGTAGAGTGTAGAGTGCAAAATGCGCACTGTGGAGTGTAGAGTGTGGAGTGTAAAGCGTAGAGTGTAGAGTGCAGAGTGTGGAGTGTGGGGTGTAGAGGGCACGAAGACAGACACTTTCACGGTGTACCGCGCCTGCCACGACAATCCGCGACAATCCACGACATCTGCACTGCGTAACCACTTCACGCAACACTGCCACTGCAATTGGCGATACTTTCGACACCTTTCGACCCTTCATCAAACACGCCAGAATGCCACAATGTGCCACGCCTGCCACACAAAACGTGTCACACGCCTTTTCGAAACTTCAACAATGACACCTTCTGCAGCAATTGCCAACGGTCCGGCCATATATGGCCTTGACTATCTTGACTGTGAACGATGATGGTTGCGGACGGTTGCGGACGGTTGCACATGGTTGTGGACAGTTGCGGGCGGCAAAGCTACTCGAGCGAACACACCTCGACCCCCAACCCCCCAAAGTTGAACAAACTTAAACAAACAAGAACCCTTCGCTATGCATTCGAAACCCAAAGGTATCAGCGGCATCAACCAATATCAAAAAAAACAACAGTAAACCGTAAACCTATATATATATATATATATTTATTTACCTATATACAACTGAACCGGCTCACAAATGTTCACATTGTTAGAGACCACGGTCCTCAACGCAATAAATCATCAAGAAAATGCGCTCGATGGCATAAGCCCAGGAATCGCGACCAAGTTCCTGTCCTCAGGTGGGCTGATTGGTTCTTGGTTGACACGCCCTGCTATGCCCTGCTTGCAGGCTGGAACTCCCTTTGACAGCTTTGAAACCCCAGTCCTCTTTGAAGAGATTCTTCTGCTTCTATGCCGATTGTGATCAAATTGACCAAGATGATGAAACCCGAAGCATACCTGAGAGGTAAGAAGGGTCATTCTATCCGCCGGGAAAGTATTCCAAGGACAGCACATGACAGCACAAATTTCCGCTATGCAAACGCAACCATGCAAACACAAACACACACACAAACACACACTGTTGATAGAGTAAATAAACTACCCTAGTCTATAAATTGAATCTCTGCTATGCTGGCATCGTCTTTGCCTCGATGTTTCCTAAGAAGTCATCTTGATGATCACGAGTTGTCACATGCACTTGCAGACACCTATAAACTTGCAACAGCCTGATTGCAACAGCTTGAAATTTCACATTCATTTGCAGGTACACGGTTAGACGCCTCCAACCGCTTCCCATGAAATCAGTGGCTTCGTTGGCCAGTGTGGTGATGTCATGCGCTGGCCCCCTGCTTGTTGATGACAGAATTTCGACCAGTTTTAATTTCTCTTACCCGCATGACTCCTCGCGGGGTTCACACACACAAATGCCCCGCAGGGCAGGCAAAATACCTTTTTATCACCTCACCTGACGTCGACTGGCTTTCTATATCATTGGGTTCTCTACATGGGTTGAAAGTTCAGCTCTACAACGCTAGATCCACGTGACGAACATCTCGACTAAAGGCCCGAACCGACTCATATGATCGATCGGTGTCAATAACTAGTGTCCTTGGGTCTCCGGTGCTACGTTCTGGCGTCATAGGGCTCCCGGCTGATCCAACGTTCTGCCAAAGGACCCAAAAAATAAGAAACTAGTCTTGTGCAAATTGTGCAAACTGATCCGGACCCTGATGTCATAGGGGTCCTGGCTGATCCAACGTTCTGCCGATCTTCTGATACACGAGAGGAAATGCGTTTATTTGATCTGGTTGGTCCCGTTACCCAACATGTCAAACGGTGGCTCAATTCTCTAGCGAAAACATCTTGACAAAACAGATGTATAAAAGACATTAAAAGACAAGGTTGATTTATTTGAGCGCTGATGAAAATGAAGCAAAACTAATCCGTGGTCACCATATTATTTGCAAAGACAAAGAAAACGACAGTCTGTAACATGACGTGTTATATTGTACGATGTTAAATTGAGTGTGTGTCATCATGTGAAGTCATGTCATGCATACATCCGGAAGACATCCGGTAAGAAAGTGATTTACTTAGAGTGACTCTCTGTTTTCACACGGCATCACGACATGGCATGTACTGAAAGATCTCTGAAAGCATCTCTGTGTGATGAAAGAGTCGAGCCACTATTCTGGGGACAGGGGACACCCCACCACTACAAAATGACGATTGGACAGGATTGGGTTTCATCTTTGTTTTTACATGTCAATCATGCAACCGCTACAAAAAGAATATGTCTGTCCAGTGGGTGGTCTGTTGGCTTTCTGTGGTTGGCGTGCAATTTTTCATCTCTCATCTGCCCAAATGGCTCCGCACCCGCCGCTTCAAAAAACGCAGTGTTTCGCAACTTTTCTACCTTTTCGCCCATCTGCATCTTCTTTCTTCTGACTCTTTCTCTTCTCTGATCTTCCTTCTTCTTCTCTTCTCTTCTCTTCTCTGACTCTTCCCACCTCTGCTTTTCCATCTGTCCATATTGTCGGAAGTTTGACTTCTAAACTTCCTTCGATAATATATCTCTCTCTATCAACAAAATCAAAGCAAGAAAATTTATATACATCTCTACAAATGTTACACAATGTTACACACGCGCACGCACTGGCACACACACACAAGCACACAAGCACACACACACACACACCCCAAAAAAAACAACGCGCGCGTCAGCACGTGCACCAGCTGCACAAATGAAGGCTTTGATGAAACATATCATATATATATGGAAAAGTCGCAAGTTCTGCCCCAATGAGTGGCCTTTATGGTCATTGCATGGGGTTGAATCGGCCGGAGTTGGGAACTTCATGGGACTTCCACCCCGTAGATACCAGTACTGTTCTTCAAAGTGGGGACCATGAACTTGTCCCATGGATCCTGTGGAAGTCTGTCACCTTCATTATCACAGAATCTCCACAATGACAAGCTGCTCAAACCACCCAGATTCAACGGCATTCTTGGTCATGAGGCGACATCTCTCCGTCATTGTTGCAGGTCCTGAAGATTCCGACACGATCATCTCTTCTTCCACCAGCTTCTTCAGTCCAACTGGTTGGTTGCCAGATTCAACTACGGTCTTTCGGGTACGAAAGAGCTCTTCCAAAGTGCCAGCTCGCCTTGTAAAATGTATGCTGGATTTCGGCTGTGCCGCCTCACCATGCTCACCATGCTCACCAAATTCAGCACGCGCAGTTGACTCTGACTGCTCTGGCACTTGTGCATCGGATTCCGATTCCTTTGGGAGGTGACTCATCGGCGCCTCAGCTACGAAATTTGCGTCTGAATTTACCGACTCCAAATCTGCAAACAACAGGTCTCCAGCACAATCGCCGCCAGCACGCTGCACGGGTTCTGCAGTTTGAGAGTTTGCATACTTTGAATTGATGCCTTGGCGAATTTCTGACAACAATGCCTCTACTGATTTCTGCCACTCCTGGTGCTGAGCTTTAAGTAGCTCTAGGCTCTGTGAAGATGTTTCCTGCTGCTTCTGGATAGCGGTCAAATGTTGCAACATTTGCAAATTTGACTGTGTTGCCGGCATGGCTTCCAAAGGCTGAACAGGTCGATTCAAGCCCTCTACGTCTGGAATTTTACGTAAGTCTTGCCAAGAGAAAAGCATCACCTCCAACGCCTTTGACGATGCATCCTAATCCTGCAATGCAATGACCCAACCTTTTGATTCTGCTACCAGAAAGCTAAGGGTCTAAGCAAGTATCAATATAAGCAAGTCTATCATGGAACAATATGGAACATATGTTCAGCAGCTTGACTGTTCTGTCAATCATTGGCTTGACACCCTAAGAGTGGAACAAATGTTGACGTCGCATTGAACAGTCATGTACTGTCACCAGCCGAAACACAGAGAACACTGAACATACTGAACATGGATGAACATGGATGAACATGGTTGCCGCTCAAACTGTCCATGCATGCACATGCTATCACCTTCACAAGGCATGTCACAATTTGATACAGAGGGCAAACATGGGCAAACATTCACACACACACATGTCCTGCTGCAATAAATATAGTGTTGAGCGAGACGATCCAAGCAAACCATGAAGGCATCTAAAATCACGAAGAAAAGAGCTTCCTGCACAGCTACACAATATCAGCAATGCTGTGCAATGCTTCTGTTCAATCCTGGTGTTTCTGCTCTATCCGATATCCATCTCTAGGCGCAGGTCTATCCGGTCTTTCCTTCTTTCTCCGTATCCTCCCGATCTCTGTCGCAAAGATTTGCCGGTGTTCATTTTCTTAGAGTCCCCAATGGCAAGGTGGCTTTTTCAAGAGGGAGTCACTGGGAACAGCACTATGCGCCTCACACCAGAAACAACAAAAACAAAACATAAACAACATCAAGCAACAAACAAGCTCCAGGCATCTCCAGGCATCCTGGGAAGAGATGTCATCGGAGCAGTAGATCACGACACCTGACAATGCAGCAATTTTCAGGTAGGTTCAGGAGCAAACGCCCTCAGCAGGGCCCAGAGCTCCCCATCTGCCTAGCAAAATAATTGCCAAAGAGATGATGGCGTCTTTTGTGATGGGGACATATGGGGACGCCAAAGATCAAGCGCTCCGCTCCAAGCAAAATCAGGGGGCTTGCGTTTCTAATAACTGTCAATGTTGAAAGTGTTGTATACATCCTTGGGTGATTCCAGCAACTGATGAAATTTCGCAATGACCTGTGACACATGTCGGGACACGTTCCTCCTTGTACAAGCATGGTGCTTGCCAGAAAATGCCAGAAAGCATTCAATATCATTCAATAAATGAGAATCAAACAGTCAGCACAAGGCTTTCTTCGAAACCAGCACTGTCGTTTCCCCATGACTACATTGCTACACGTTCTTCATGGAATTTCTTTTAATATGCTGCGAATTGCGGCGATGAGCAGTGGAATCAGTGGAACCTAAAATCAACATATAAATCAACTACAATCATAATCAACTTGAGGAACCCAAGTTCTGCCAATATCTGCCCAGAGATGAGCCTGCATGCCCGTCCACAAATTCAAGCCAGATAGAACAGCAATAGGAATCCAGCGAACCACTTCAAAGAAACTGCCACGAATTAAATTGGCCCTGACGAGATGCAAAACCTGTCCAAGCGAAGTGGTCAAGCTTGTTGATCAACATGTCCAATCTAATTCAAATAAGTTCTGTATAGTTTTGTATGGTATGGTTGCATACCTGGAGTTTATTTCGTAAACACATCAATTGTTTTGGCATGCAACCGACCGGAACCCATTACAACATGCATGAGACAAAATGATAAGATATATGTACAAACTGAACTGGTGATGACAGCAACAGGAGCGGCATCGATTGGGGCGCGCTGTGTGGATACTGATTCTTTATCCACTCATCCCATCTCATTCCAATTTGGAATCACACTCGTCACTCATCTTGCTTATTCTTGCTTTTGAATGAATTCAACAAGGCGCAGGAATTGCTGTGCTCTGTTTTATAATTCTCCGGTCGGCGGTGCAAGAAACTCTTCTCCAATGCTTTTCAAACGCAAATTCACATGTTGCCAATCAATGTCAATCAAGAATGAGCTGCGACATCATTGCTAAAAGACGGTTGCATTGAACTTTGCCGAGCAGCACTAGCCACAGCAATGGTGGTGCATTGCTGCATCGCCAAGAGAATTGTTCCGACCCGTGTCCACGTGGCTGCCTTCTGGCAAGCTAACTGCAAACTTTCAGTGCAACCACTCATAACATCTCATAACCAGTTCTTCGATCTTCTCACCAAATTCTTCCTGGCGCCTGTGCCCACGATCAATTGGTATCAAAAGACGTCGTACCGAGAGCTCATGGGACTGATCTACAAAGGAGCCCGGAGCGCTGCAAATCGCCGTCAAAAACAGATCTGAAATCCGCGAGGCCCAGCGGCCCAGCCTAACATTTGTTCGGTGGTGCTCTGGTTTGACAACCCTGACCGAGGTCCGTGTTGGCGACAACCATGCCAACACTGCAGATCCTTAACTATACCAGAAGGGGGGTCACGTACTGCCAGAGGAGCATCACAAACGCAAAACATCAGAGAGCGCGTGCGGTCTGGTTAACATGAGTTGACAGGCATTGACAGGCTGTCACTCTCACAACTGAATGCTGTGCAATGCTGTGCATTTTTAAACATATTCGGTAAAGTATATATCAATAAACACAATAGATCACAATAATCCTCATACACAAGTGAAGACTTTGTAGGCATTCCTCAACTGAATGCCAATGCTGTGTAGTCTGGTTTTGTGTAAGTTCTTCATGGTTTTCTCTTGTATTTGCACAGGAATGGTACTTGCCTCTCATCCGAAGTTGATGTCTTGAATCTCAGATCCTATTTCTCTCCAAGACTCATGTACAGGGCAGTCGCTCTGATTGCAGGATCATCAGCAGATGAGGGCAAAGAGAATCCGCCCAATGATGGCATGGCAATCAAACAAATCTCCAGTTGCCCAGCGTTGTTGCATCACTAACGGCGTTATCGAGAGATCTTGAGAATCTAGTGCTCGCGTGCATCTGGTATTTCATTATAGCCTCCTTTCTACTTCTATATCACTGCAGGAAGATGCGAAATGTGTAATCACAGTGCTGCATAATTGTGGCAGCAAGATGCAGCAAGGATAAGTGCCCTCAGCTGTTGCCAAAGCTATTTCTTTCATGTTTCCAGATGAGTTTCATGAGACATTCTGACATTCAAACCCAAAGGCCGCACATGGATCAACCACATGTTACCAAGCCTCTGCTGAGGGGCCAACTTGGCTCCAACGGAATGGCGGCTTTCATTGACTTTTACATACTTTTGCTGTTCTTTGTGCTTTAATGACCTTTACTGCACATTCACACCATCTTGTACCGAATCGCGCCCAGTCTGTTCATGGCAACAGAATAGCAACTGATGCTGCGCTGTGCTGTCGTCCTGCACAGGTGCATGTACCGGCAGTGGGGCAGGTCCCAAGGGCGCCGGTGCCAATGGTGCAGCGGGTGGAGCTGCAGGAAAGGGTGGTGCAGGTACTTGTGCAGCCAACATTGGACCTATGATTCACGCACATGAAGGCTGTCTGAATACTCAAGATATATCACGGCCTGCAAACTCATATGTAAAGAGTCTTTACTGAAGACATAGCATCAGAAAACAAACACACCTTCAACAAATAGTCCGCTGTGGTCCAAATCTGTCCAGTATGTGCAGAAGGCCTAGTAGGCAAATCAAACATTAAATTATTATATATTGTCATTGTCAAAGCTAACACAATTCAGTATAATTGCTCCGTCCATTTGTCCAAATTTCTGCGCTGACATGCACCAACAGATTCACAAAGTCTGTGCTCAGGAATGCTTCTCACAGTTACTGGGAGCTCAGCGCACGGTCTTCGTGCACGCGCTGGCACAGAATGATGTGCGATCGACAGGACAAAATATTGGGGTGGGTACATTGGGAATATGCTTTGTGAAACAAACACATCGGAATAAGTAACCGAATTCTGTATACATGAAGTGTGAAACATGTGACCGTGGGGGATGTTGCTGTCTTACCTTCAAACACGGAAGCATCTGATAAGTCACAACTTCGCACTGAAAAATCTACTCGAAGAGCCGGTGAGGTGGTCAGCAAACATCTGCAAACAATACTTGGGGCAACACACACACACACATCTGGCAGTGTTTAGTGATCTTTCTTGGGTATATACAATAATTTGACAGGCTGAACAGAAGACTTCCTAGGACAGTGGATCATGCTCATAAACGTCCAACAGCACTTCATGTAATCATAAAAGTTTTGAAACGCTTTAATATTTTAACCCTATTGATATTAACCCAACGTCACTAAAAAAATACTACGTATGCTCGACCAAGGCCAAAATCAACCAATCAAGGAGCACCAGGGGCCTGTGATTCAGCTGCGAAGTCCATAAGTTGGCAAAGCTGAGTCTGCAAAGATGACTGTCAACTCTTGCATACTCTTGCCATCCAAATAGCGATATAGTATCATGTAGTAATATGTAGTGATCCTACCTTATCGAATCTCTCCTTTAAAATGTCAGAAAAATGATATTGGCACATAATGGCACATACCTGTTTGGACACTGTAATTAAAAACATGTAATTAAGCAAGTTTCACAACGATGACGATCTGGAGCCAAATACAAAGCAACATCCAACTCAAAGTGGCCGGTGCCCAGGCATTGGGTATAGTATGGTATAGTGACATTCTGAGGTGACCTGGTCATCTTGAGGAGTCAAAACTGAACTTAGAAGACTGAAAAAAAAACAAAATAATATATATATGGGTATGTCTCAAAATGAGGAGTGCGGCCCGGGAAGTTTGACTAGGGGGTATGATTCGTGGGTATGATTCGGGGTATGATTCGTGGGTATGATTCGTGGGTATGACTCGCGGACCTTGATTTAGTGTTTCCCTGCATCCTCCGCGTATAATTATTTACCCACACTTACCCCGAAAATGTTTCAACTGTTGGTAATTATACCATACGTGGAGCGCTCTGGAGCTGGCATGCTGGTGACGCTGTGCGTGCTGCTGTCAGAGTGGTGTGCGCGCTTTGGGGCGGGCATCGTGGTGCCGTTGGAGTGCCGCTGCAAGGTGCTGGTGCAGGGTGTTGCTTGCTGTCAGAGTGGTGTGTACAGTTTGGAGCGATGCTGGTGGCGCTCAGGGTGCTGCTGCAGGTGCTGCCTGAGGGTGATGTTTGAAGGTGCTGCTGTCAGAGTGGTGTGTGCTGTAACCTGCTTTGGAGCGGGCATGCTGGTGAGCGGATGCCGGTGGAAGGTGCTGCTTGAGGGTGCTGTCGAGCTAGCTTGCTGGTGCTGCTGCAAGGGGTGATGCTTCAGGGTGCTGCAAGGAGGGCACGTACTGTACCCAACTCGTGCTGCAAGGGTGCTAAGTGAAGGGCGCTGCTGCACGCTGCAGGGTGCAGCTGTTAGAGTGGCGTGTCCGCTCGGGAGCTGGCTGGTGGTGCCGCTGCAGGGTGCTGCTTCAAGGTGCTGCAGTTAAAGTGGTGTGTGTGCGCTTTGGAGTTGGCATGTTGGTGCCATTGCAGGAGCTGCAGGGTGCTGTTGTCGGATTTTTCTCAGAAGCAGCAGGAGGCGTAGTCTAGCCCGTGGCGAATGGTTACAAAGAAAAGAGCTCACAAAACACAAGTTCTGATCTTGCAAAGATACCAAGGTTCAGAATTGGGAAGTTTGAGGTGTGATTCGGGTATGATTCGGGCATGATTCGGGGTATGATTCGGAAAGCCATCTTTTTTTGAATTCAGGAAGCTTTGTTGCTTGAGTCTCTTTTTCCCACCGTGAACCTACTACGATTGCTACTCAATGGCTGCAATGGCTCGACCTGCCAGACGACCTTGGACAGGACCTGAATATGAAGAATGTGAAGATTTAAATGCACATCTATGATTTATATCCGCCGGCCTGCCGGCGTCTCTTCTGGATGTTCTTCTCATGTACCTTTAGTTCAGCTACGCTTAGGCTCATGTTCCTCTTCGACGGATTTTTGGTTTGGTTGCCAGCCAGCCAGCCAGCCAGCCAGCCAGCCGCACACAGAGTCATCCCGCTCATCAGCCTCATCAGCAACACAGCAAGCAGCCAGGCACGCAGCCAGCCAGCTGCAACTAGCCAGCCCTATACCAGCAGCAGCAACTGAGCCAGCCACCTATAGCCAGCCAGCCAGCCACCCAGAGCCAGCCAGCTTAGGGATAATGATGAGACTCTGTGCGCGTGGAGAGGATTCGCCACTCCGTGAAGGTATGTGAAGGTAGCCAGGGATCATCGGGTCTGGCCAACACTGGTCAATTAGCTTGTCAGGTTCATTATAACAGGTGAGGCCAATGCAATCCCAAACGATCCCGAAAGAAACATTCACAAAAATGATTTTTTGGGGTATGATTCGGGGGTATGATTCGGGGTATGATTCGGGGGTATGATTCGCACAAATCGAACTTCCTGCCTTCACTAAAAACTGCACCCGTTTAAAAAAAACACAGCCATATATATATAATATATAATGAACAATAGAAAACATATGAAAACATGTGCAACACCACAGAACCCTGCCAACCCAAGAGATAGATCCACTAAGTCATTGAAGAATTTCAGAATCTATTGATGCCTATTGATCTAGAGCGAAAAGGTTGCATTGATGGAGCGCGCAAAGCTGCTGGTGAGGCACTTTTCTGCTTCATTGACTGTAAAGCGGGGGGTACCCACGAACAGTGGGAGCCCTTGAGATTCACATACAAAGCATTATCTGCCGTCGTTTTGACGGAGTGAGTCTACTGCAAGTTGTAAGTCAGTGACATCGGCCAAACTAAACCATGTAATCTCAGCCTTGGTATTTTGTAAATGAATGCCCTGTAGCAACAATTATGTAGCACACATTCCATGAAACAATGTCGCGTCAGTGCCAGCTTCTGATGACCAGTGTGTTCGTGTGTCCAAAGGGTCTTGTGCAGTATCTTCTGCCATAGGTCGAGGCAGTGTCTTCCAGTTGCTCCGTCCAAGGACTTAAGTTCGCAACGTTACAAAGACGCCTGCAGCTCAGCATGTTCAACACGGCTTGAAAAACGTATCTATGAATATCTGAGATAAGCAATTGGCCACGTTGCGCCCCGCACACACACACATGCACATGCACATGTACGTCCACCTTGTTTTCAACCAAGGTCTAGGAACAAATATGAGCCGCGGAAAGATGGGTGTTCTTACGCTGTTTTCCATTGCCTTAACGTTTTTGTGGGCCAGAATTGTTTATTCTTTAGCCAGCTTATATAATATATACTTGCGATGCCTACCTCGTTCTTGGTGCGTTGCAGCCTAAAATATAATATGGCGTGTTCAACAAACGGGGGTACGTCCCAGGACTACTCTTCACTTCACCAATTAATAAGCCGTCACTCACATATGATTATATATGTATATATACTTGCAATATCTTGCAATCACACACCAATAATCTATCATATTCTATAATGTCAACCCGGATTAATAAACCATGTTTATTAATCAGGGGGTGCTCCCCAAATAGTCGTAATCTGATACTTAAATGGTATCCCCCCAATCAAACAGCCTAGGTGATCCTAGGGGTTTACTGATCCAGGGTTGACACTAATCACCTATGCCTATACCTTTTAACATCGCGTATAGAAAAACATTTATTTATGGAGCAAGGCTGTATGTGTCGTATGAGTATGACAATCCAATGCCGCGTATACAGCAACCTCCATGAGGTTTTCTGATGCACGCTGGTACAAAACGGCGCCACAATTGACGCGCGTGAAAACCAAAGAGTCCATTTGATTATCTTGATTTGCGCGAACCTTCCCACTCATGGAAGGCCAAGGTCAATCTCTGCCTCCCTCACTACTCCTTACGCCCGTCTTCCAGGCTCATGATGCTCATGCGTGTGCTTTGCTGATTGTGTATTTGTATGTATTTGTGGGTGTTGCACAAATTCAATGAACTGTGCCAATGCATGCCAATGCATGCCAATGCACTGCTTACATATTCCAAGGTTGCTGTTGGGGGATCACACTTCCGCACAAAAGTGTCGGCTCTTATTGCAAGCTTCCAGAAGCGTTACAGGCATGCCTTTGTGCTTTGTTCTTCATCACCTGCCATGCGAGATGAATAAACTACGATGAACAAGATTGAATTCGCCCGCCATGAGTTCAACATCCTTTAACTTCTACATTGCCAATGAACTAGCAGTTTGGAGGTCCGGAGGGCAGCAGGGCAGCAATTACAGTAGAAGAGGATAAAAGAGGAGAACCCACCAAAGAGCAGCGCTCAGGCGGAGCATCCTGGTCAACTTGAAAGTGGCACATTCTCTGACTTTCACTTTCCACTCCCCTCAATCATTCCCAGGCAATGGGCTGTTCATGGCTGTTCACGTCCATTTCACTGTTCGTCAATCCCATTGCGAGCAGTTGCAAGTGATGAATCACCCTACCACATGCTACTTCCACAACCATCCACAACATATACTATTACTACCACGCGCTGCAACCACCTATCTGGTTGTCATAAACAGGGCTCGGGACCTCTTTGCTTCTGCCTGGCAGAAGCCGCCAAGCAACATGTTCAGAAAGGACGCTTGTTCGGATGTCTTCAGTAGTTTCCAAATGATGTTTCCAGACTAATTATGTCATTGCATCAGTGCGGGCCAAGTCAGCACGCTGCCGCATTGGAATCTGCCTTGGAGTTTCGTTGATGTCCCGCGTCATTGGTTTCTCACGGCCTCAGGGAGCAAAGAACACAGGAACAACGACGTGGATCGACTTGGCACTTCCGTGCTTTGCACTTTTCAAAGTGAAATTGAGAGGCCGGTGGCCGAAGGATCTTCAGATCCAAATGCCAGACCTAGGCGCTGCACATGTTGCCCTGCTCGTGGCTGGTTGGTGTGCCTACCGCTGGCACAGTAAGCGGGATCAAACCGGCCCCAGCTGTTGCACAACGACTAGTGCAGTGTACGACACTGAACGTCACGCTGAACGTAAATCCGCTTACGCGCCTCCTTCCGTGCAAGCTCTGTTTGGGATGTTGCAGTTGGAACTTTTCGATTGTTCAATTCCTGCACGAGCTTGATGGTAGCGACCTGTGGTTCATCCTATCGAAAGATATCCAAAGCAATCAAGTGCAGCATGAACATTTATGGTATTTATGAAAATGCAGTTGAATTCACATGGGGCTAGCAGCTAGCAAAAATCACAGAGGCGACTGAGCAAACGGCATAGGAAGCATCTGGCTTCCGCTCGACATCCCCAATTTTCCCTGAAAACCAACCAAACCAGCGGCAAAAATACAACACTTTTGCATTCAGTACTGCTATCTGCTATCGGATATCGTGAACCATCCTGTGTTCTTCTGTTGCAATGACGACCAAAAACAGGTGGAACCTCAGGCCTGAATAGTCCAATCGATCCAATAGAGTTCTTAGTCCTTAAGTAATTAGACCAATCGTGTCCAATTGTGTCCAGCCAGTCGAATCAACACACCAATTTCTTCAACCTGCTATGATTTGCCTCCTGTTCCTGGAGGCTGCCTGCAAGGGCCAAAGCACTGTAAGCTCACACCACTCTTGTCACGATTTCCGTTTCTTGGCCTAGAAACCATGGACAAACAAGAAACATAAAGAAACCCAAGAGACAGGAATCAACATTCCCCAATTCATTCCCGCCACACTGCATTCTTGGCGCATGTTTTCACCAGCAAACCAACCGGTGATTCTCAAAAGTGGTTCTCTGCCGTTGCAGTAGATCTTGCATGATTCCCAGTTTCTAGTCAAAAGGATGCAAGAGTAAGGGTAGTTTCGAATCCACCTATGGGATCCTATGGGCAGACAACTAGCAGCTATCACGTGTTTGAAGACCTTTGAAGACTTTGTGGACCGTGCGATTCATCCATGAATGTCCATGAGAAAATGTGTGGTCTGGCCTGGATGTTGCAGCTGGAGATGGCTGATGCTCAGGCCTGCAAATCTTCAGATACACAAATCATGGCACAAATATGATCAAACATGTACAATTTCGAATGTATACATAATATATGTGTCTGTGATATATATATATATACATTTATTTAATAAATAAATAATGTTAATATATATATATATAATTATATATATATACACATCGTTTACACATCGTATACATATCGTATACATATCGTATACATATCGTATACATATCGTATACATATCGTATACACATCGTATACATATCGTGTATATACATATACATATATATATATATATATGTATTATTGTAGATTAAGTCACACCTTGCTCCATAGATTTTGCCAATCTAATTAGTCTACATTCTGACACTTTTGATGATGGAACCAAATAATAGCAGTGTGACCAACTTCATACTACTGAATTGACACGCTGGATGTTCAGGCCAAGACCGCATAGGCAAGGGAGGAATTACCTCAGGATTTTGTGCCCGCTTTCATGATGGACGATCTGAATGAATGGAAAAAAATGCAGCCATTGATTGCAATTCCATGCGCCAATGTCAGTGCCACACTGGAAGTGCCGACTGTCCACTGCTGAGCCTCAGGAACTGTGGTGCAAAACTGCCCCAAAACGGATTCAGCAAGCGAACGTTGAGGCTTGTGCTCTCGCTCTTGTAGATTTCGGTCATAACTTTGTGGAGATCTGTTTGTGCCCGAACCAGGTAAACCTGAAACTTCAATGAAGTGACTGTGTTGAATTCTAAGCTGATTGTCTGTTCATTGGCTACCCTGAGTCAGCAAACTTGTGCGACACATCTGCACCATTAAACCAACTCGAGCGCAAACTGTCCAGAAATGCATACCAAAGCATACCGAAGCATTCATGTTTCGCAGAGGTGCTTCTCTGGGCGTGGGAGCCCATCGTGCCAGGTAAAGTTTGCCTCAAAACACATTTGAAGGCGCTTTCTTTCCACCAACGTATGCGCCCCCCAACCACACACATGATCGAAGGAAGTTTAGAAGTCAAACTTCCGACAATATGGGCAGATGCAAAGCAGAGGTGGGAAGAGTCAGAGAAGAGAAGAGAAGAGAAGAGAAGAGAAGAGAAGCGAAGCGAAGCGAAGCGAAGAGAAGAGAAGAGAAGAGAAGCGAAGCGAAGCGAAGCGAAGAGAAGAGAAGAGAAGAGAAGAGAAGAGAAGAGAAAGAGTCAGAAGAAAGAAGATCCAGGTGCGCGAAAAGGTAGTAAAGTCGCGAAGCAGTGTGTCTTTCCAATGGTTTGTGGCCCCGGAGGCTCGAAAAGTAGGCTCGCGAAAGCGGCGGGTGCGGAGCCAGCTGGCCAGATGAGAGATGAAAAATTGCACGCCGTTGTGGCGCGAACGAAGCGCATTTCAAAGTCAAAATGTACGAGTAACGAAACACACCAGGTCTGGGCCACTTTTGGAAGTTGAGATGTCGAAAAAGCGCACGCCGTTGTGGCGCAAAGCACATTTCGAAGTAAACATGTTAAAAGCACCACATGTTCGGACCACTTCTGGAAGTTGAGATGTCGAAAAAGTGCACGCCGTTGTGGCGCGAAGCACATTTCGAAGTCAAAATGTGAAAAACACCACATGCTCGGACCACTTTTGGACGTTCAGATGTCGTTGCGCGTGGCAGGCGCACGGGATTGTGCACCTTGTCAAAAGTGAGCAAAACGTGAGGGTTTTGCGGCATTTCCAAAAACGATGGCAGGCGTGGGACATTTGAAGAGGATCTGCAAACATGCATTTTCCGTGGCAGGCGCAGTACAAGATGTACAAGAGACATGTTCATTAGAGATGTTAGAAGTTAGGGCGCTGATTTCTTGAGAGGGGTTGCGATTTGGAGCATCAAATCTGTAGGTTTGCTAAGATGATTTTGCGTGACAGGTGCAGCACTTCGTATGACCCGGTATCACTGTTTCGTGGCAGGCGCAGTAGTTTAGACAGGTGGAGCCAAAAAATCACAAAACACATTGGCACGAGGCCGTCAGCTCCGCACTCAACTTTCCATTTTTGAAGGACGTCTCGCAGAATTGCTTCGTTTTTGATGTTGTCAACTTAAAAAATGAGGAAGTCTCGCAGAATTGCTTCGTTTTTGACGTTGTCACAAGGGCAAAAATTGAGGAAGTCTCGCTGAATTGCTGCGTTTTTGATGTTGTCAAGTTCAAAAACTGAGGAAGTCTCGCAGAATAGCTTCGTTTTCAAGCTTGCAGAAAGACAGATAGATAGACAGACCGACAGACAGAGAGAAAGAGAGAGAGAGAGATATATAGATAGATAGATAGATAGATAGATAGATAGATCGATCGATAGAATTCGATAGATAGATAGATGGATGGATAGATAGGTAGATAGACAGCCAGATAGATAGACAGATAGATAGATAGGTAGATAGATAGATAGATAAGGTAGCTAGATACGGCAGATCGGTAGACAAGCAACTACAACTACAACAGCAGCAGCAACAACAACAACAACAACAGATAACAACAGTGGTGATTGAGCACATGCATCATGCACTTAATCGAGCATAGTGATGTCCCCTAGATTTATTTCCTTCTAACTGAGTGACAGTATAGCCATAGAAAATGATTTCAGAGGAAGAATTTCACACATAAGGGAATCCCAACCGAAAGTGTTCGATTTGATCTGGGGTATACAACGCACATCTGTTCGATTGTTTTTTTTTGGGGTGCTATACGACAGGGGCGATGTTTTATTTGATTGTTGAAGGGTAGCTTGTAACGAAGGGATTGTTGGGGCTGACCAAAAGATTGAAGCCATTTTTCAGTTTGGTACATGAATAGAATGTTCGTACTTAGTTGCGCCATTACAGCCATTACGTGAAGATGGTGTTGTGGTAAGAACTGGGTTGCGTTGACTACTTTTTGTGATGGAAAATATGTCATTTCATGACCTTGGTGATGGAAAATATGACATTAATTGCAAGACCTTGGTGCACATTTTAAAATGAATGTTTGTTTCATGGCCGTATGCTGTGTTTCAGTGGAAGCTATACCAAGCCACCGTGTCTTTTCAGTGGAGGGCGCACAACCTGTTTGCAGGTGGGGGACACATGCAGTGATCCGCAACACTTTGACAGAATGCTTTCTGACAGGCCGTTTCCTGTCCCTCCATTTTCTTTGCAGCCTTCCGTGTGTGTTTTTGGTGACAGCACAAAGGCGCAGTGTCACGTTGCCGTACCGATGTCGTTTGGTCTTGTAGCCTGCGTGTCAGTCTTTTCTGACGGCACGAAACAAACAGCGCTGTGTCCATTTTCTTGGCCCCTTGCTTCGATGATGACTCCGGTCTTGCAAGCTTTCGTGCTTGTCTTTTCTAATGGTAATCCTCCACACTGGTCACGTTGCGATCTGCCAGGAAAAAAGAGCTTTGGGACAAATAGATAGGTAAAATGGTCAGATAGATGGATGGATGGATGGATGGACGGATAAGTTGATGGGTGGATAGGTAGATAGGTAGATGGTGGGTACGAAGATAAAGAAATAAATGGACGGATGGATAGATAGATGGATAGAGGTAGCTACGTAGATAGATAGATTGATAGATAGATAGATAGGTAATTAGATGAGAGAGGGAAAGATAGATAGATAGATAGATAGGTAGATAGATAGATAGATGGATAGATAGATAGGTAGATAGATAGATAGAAAGACAGATAGGTTGATAGATAGATAGGTAATTAGATGAAAGAGAGAGAGAGATAGATAGATCGATAGATAGACAGATAGATAGATACAAAGATAATCAAAGATAGGTAGGTAGGCAGATAGTCAGGGAAAGAAAGAGAAAGAGAGAAAAAAAAGAGATTCAAGCACCTTTCGGTCCATCTGTGGATTCGCGCTGCCATCCGTGATTCACAACAACCAACCTCTCCTATAGGCTTCCTATTTCTGAAACTTCCGCCACCGTCTTGTGCGGTACTACTGGTATAACTGTATGAATTTTAAATTTGAGATAGTTCCATTGAGTCACTTACCGCATGCTGTAAGAAAAAAATCCAGCCAGTTCTGGAGTCAAGTAGGAATGGACCGGACACACAGGTGGTTTTCTCGAAGCCAATCAACTTTGCAATTTCATTCTACCATTCTGATCCATTCTGCGACTGCATTATAGTGTGCCCGCCTGAAATTGCGGGTCTGCTCTAGGAATCCTGAGTACAGGATAGGGAAACGATGCGGAAACACATGGGATAAAAAAAGAAGCAATGGGAATGAGTGGGAGGGGAAAAATGACAAGAAATATCGAGAAATAGGAGTGAGAGGTTCTTCACAGCAACTCCTTTTAATTTCTACACTTTCCAATTTTCCTGTGTTATTGTGATAACACATGATAAAGGTAAAACATGTATAGGATGGTATACTAATATGATGTTCCAATTCTGTTCCTGCCCCTGCCTGCACTCCTGTGGGAGAGTGATGCAGCTGTCGGCCTGGCACAGGTCTTCTCGAGTAAAAGAACATGGAAAGAACACGGAAAGAACAAATGATGTTTTGTTGAAAATAACTACTACTAATTCTTAGCTAAAGGGGCGGGTAACCCCACATGTCCACTTCTTCCAATATGTAGCCAAAGAAAGGTGAACATGGGATGGGAAAGGCAGGAAAGAGAAAAGAGATGTTGGAGGATCGGTGTGTGCAAGAAATGCGCGTCGAAGTGAGGTGTGTGAAAGAGTTCCGTGCAAAAGTGCTGTTGGTGAAAGATGTGTGTGTAAAGGTGTGGTGTGTAAAAGTGGTGTGTGAAAGAGTCGTGTGTGAAAGTGCTGTGGGTGAAAGAGTGGTGTAGGAAGTTGTGTGTGTGAGAGAGAGTTGTGTGTGTGAGAGAGTTGTGTGTGAGTAAGTTGGGTAAGTTGTGTGTCAGTAAGTTGTGTGTCCGTAAGTTGTGTGTCAGTAAGTTGTGTGTGTGTGAGAGAGAATTGTGTGTGAGTAAGTTGTGTGTGTGTGAGTAAGTTGAGTAAGTTGTGTGGGAGTAAGCTGTGTGTGTGAGAGAGTTGTGTGTGAGTGTGTGCGTGTGAGTAAGTTGTGCGTGTGTGAGAGAGAGAGTTGTGTGTGAGTAAGTTGAGTAAGTTGTGTGTGGGTAAGCTGTGTGTGTGAGAGAGTTGTGTGTGAGTAAGTTGAGTAAGTTGCGTGCGAGTAAGTTGTGTGTGTGAGAGAGTTGTGTGTGTGTGTGTCAGAGAGTTGTATGTGAGTAAGTTGTGTGTGTGAGAGAGTTGTGTGTGAGTAAGTTGTGTGTGTGTGAGAGAGTTGAGTAAGTTGCGTGTGAGAGACGGCTGCGGCGGCGGGAGGCAGGAGGAGGCAGGAGGAGCGGACGGGAGTGCACAAGCAAAAACAAGGACCCCACACAAAGATGTGGGGAAAAATATACATATATACATATGTATGTATTTGATATATAAAAACAGCAGTAAACAATTTGACAGCGACTATATATAAAAACAAATCACCGAACATCCGCACAAATTTGACAAACTTAGTCACTTTTTGCACTATGGCTAAGTGGCTAAACTCTCAAACATGAGAGTGTCACACTACTGCGCCACCGGCAACAGCAGCACCAGGAATTCTGGCACAGCAGTTCGAAGGCTGCATGATGAATCGTGGCATATCGTGGCCCAAACATTTCTTTCACTTTTCACATCCACTTGTTGACAATCTAACTTTGATCTGTAGGAGAAGGGATGCTGTCTGACCGTCCTGACCTATTTGATACTATTTTGATCTACTTGTGCTGATGACAGTTCGTTGCAGCACTGCCTATTCTCTCTCTCTCTCTCTCCCTCTCTCCCAGTGAATCTCCATGAAGTTTACTTCCCAAGTGGCCAGTTAGGAATTGTGCAATTTGGGGAAGAAAACAAAAATGCAGCAATAGATGAGCCAGCATGACATCTTTAACTTCCAAATATCAAACGATACTATTTCCGCTGGCCAAATACAAGGAATCTTGGCGAGCAATAACCCGCAATCAATATGAATATTATATGAATATGTATATAATTATATAATTGATGTAATACACATGATAAATTACACATGATATTGCTCTATGCCGGTTCAAAGAAAAAGGGCGTGCACAGTGACTTAGGAAGGAGCTCTATACCAGCCCTGCAGCACTGTAGGCTGCCCGACCCGCCGACGAGCTGCGACACAGAGTGAACCTCTGCAAATCCGACTGTGACTATAGGATCACCAAATCCCAACGATTGCAGTCTGGGCCGTGCAATGCAAGGTCCAACCATGCTTCGCAATGACTTCTCTTCTCAGCCACGTGTCAAACGCTTCCAGGAGGCCAGTACTGGCAAGATCCCGCAGAATCATGTGCAATCAGCGAGTGGTCTTGCTATGTCTCGCTGCAGCTTATGCAGCTTGGTCGCTGTGTATCTTGTCGGAGGTCTGCTCCTCTGAGGTTCGACTTTGGCACAGCTCTCCTGCAAATTGAGAACACGAGCAGCCAGCAACTTTGCAAATGCAACTTGGCCTGCTTCAACAACCTTGATGCACACAGAGTTGGGTGATAAATGGCAAGACTTCAAAGGTGCGGCCTCTTCTTTTGCCTCTTCCTTGCAGAGTGAAGCATCTGATGAAGCCTCCACTCAACACCGAAATCGTGTATACTTTTCAGGCATCAGCCCAAAAATCCACACATCAGCCCAGCCAGCCAGCACACCTAAAATCTCCCGATAATCGTGTAAGCTGAGTCCAAACCCGACCTGCAAAGTCTTCATGGAAGCCTTAGACCACTTCCTCTGGGACATCGTTTCATTTCAATTCTCAAGTGTTTTTCCGCATTCTTCGCCCACTGCAAAATGCTCCCTACACCAACACATATCTCAGCGGATTTCCTGGCAATTTGCTGTTCTGAATGTTCTGAGGAAGGCTGAACTTCAAATTGCTTGAATATGCTTGAATAATGCATTATCATTGATCGTTTGATATCATTGCATCATATGCCAAGCATTTTCAAGGCCTTGTCTCCATCGCAGCTGATACAAAACGACTACTCATGTACATGGCTGTTTGTTCTTGGAGGCTGCAGTTCTGAACCTAGCTACTAGTATGGAAGTGCCAAGGCTAACGGCTAACAAACAAAACAGAAATCGCCAAAGCCATTACTGGTACTGGGATCTGCTGGGTGCAATTTGCTGTCAGCAATAGGTGTCTGAGATTGTGTGACTTTGCTCCTGTTTTTCACCACCTGCCATGCGAGGGTCTCTATGCGAGGGTCTCTATGCGAGGGTCTCTAGATTTTAACAAAGGTGCATCTCCTTCCTTCCTTCCCTCTTTCCTTCCGCCCTTTCTTCCTTCTCCTTCCTTCCTCCTTCGTCTCCTCCTCCTCCTCCTCCTCCTCCTCGCTGACGCTGTGGAATGTGCCTGGACCCGAACACCATATCGGATAATATCTCAAGCTCAGGAGGCTGTGGAGTGGGCTTGGACCCGACCGCCATATCGCGAGCTCCGGGGGCTGTGGAGCGGGCCTGGGCCCGAACTCATGCCAGAGGAATGCCAGACAGATCGCAAGATATATGTGTCAGAAAGAATGCCAGAATAGATGCCAGATAGAATGCCTGAAAAGATGACAGATAGAATGCCAGAATAGATGCCAGGCAGAATGTCATCAATGAATGCCTGAGAAGATGCCAGATAGAATGCCCGATAGAAAGCCAGAGAGTACGTCAGAATAGATGCCAGATAGAATGCCAGCGTAGATGCCAGAATAGAATGCCAGAAAGAATGTCAAAATAGATGCCAGATAGAATGCCAGATAGAATGTCAGAGTAGATGCCAGATAGAAAGCCAGAGAGTCTGTCAGAATAGAATAGAAGCCAGATAGAATGCCAGAATAGAATGCCAGAAAGTATGTCAGAATAGGTGCCAGATAGAATGCCAGCGTAGATGCCAGAATAGAATGCCAGAATAGGTGCCGATAGAATGTCAGAATAGGTGCAAGAAAGTATGTCAGAATAGATGCCAAATAGAATGCCAGAAAGAATGTCAGAATAGATGCCAGATAGAATGCCAGAAAGAATGTCAATATAGATGCCAGATAGAATGCCAGAAAGTATGTCAGAATAGATGCCAGATAGAAAGCCAGAGAGTACGTCAGAATAGATGCCAGATAGAATGCCAGCGTAGATGCCAGAATAGAATGCCTGAATAGATGCCAGAAAGTATGTCAGAATAGGTGCCAGATAGAATGCCAAAATAGATGCCAGAAAGAATGTCAGAATAGGTGCCAGGTAGAATGCTAGAATAGATGCCAGAAAGGATGTCAAAATAGATGCCAGATAGAGTGCCAGAAAGTATGTCAGAGTAGATGCCAGATAGAATGCCAGAAAGTATGTCAGAGTAGATGCCAGATAGAATGCCAGCGTAGATGCCAGATAGAATGCCTGAAAAGATGCCAGAAAGTATGTCAGAATAGGTGCCAGATAGAATGCCAGAATAGATGCCAGAAAGAATGTCAAAATAGATGCCAGATAGAATGCCAGAAAGTATGTCAGAATAGATGCCAGATAGAATGCCAGAAAGTATGTCAGAATAGATGCCAAATTTTAGAATGCCAGCGTAGATGCCAGAATAGAATGCCTGAATAGATGCCAGAAAGTATGTCAAAGTAGATGCCAGATCGAATGCCAGAAAGTATGTCAGAATAGGTGCCAAATAGAATGCCAGAAAGTATGTCAGAATAGATGCCAAATAGAATGCCAGATAGAAAGCCACATATACTTCCAGATTGTACGTTAGAAACTATGTCAGAATGGTGTGCCAGGGTCAGGGTGGGGATCACTGGAAAACGTGTGTAAGGAATGCGCGAGAGATTGAAGTTTCTGCGGTTGATCTGAGGCGCAAGCAAAGCGGGATGCCTCTTCTGCGGCCAGGACAGATGGTCTCAAGAAGGGCGAGCCTTGTTTCAGGTTGGCACCAGCAGGCTTGAATTGGACAGGCCCAACGTATGCTTTGGATATCTTTGGATGCTTTCATCGTTATCACAAAGATTCACAAAGTCTGAAGCATGCAAGAGCCCTAACAGGCTCTTGATAAAATCCACCAATTATCAAAGGCTCCTCCGGGACTTTTTCTTTCTTGCTCAATGGATGCAATGCATCTGGATTTGAGAGCCTAACTGGGAGACTCCTGACCATCTCCTTCCTGCTCCTGCACTCACAGTAAAAGGGCAAGGTTTTGTCAGTGGATTGTTACAGTCTAACATGCTGTAGGTGGGCACCTCACGGGCATGCCAAATCATGATGATTTCCGCTAAATGCTACAGTATATCATGCTATATCTTGAATAGACTTATATGACATCATGTAATTAGTTATATATATATAGTCAATTATATATAATATACGATATATATATATACGTATATAGTATATATAATATATATTGATATATTGCATGCAGACATTCTGTGCTACATGCTATGGTCCAAAGGTTGCCGCACCAGCCTGCGAACAGCGACTTTGGCTGGCGAAGCTGACGCGTGGTCCAAGAATAAGTTTGCCGTTGGCTCGGCCACGAAGTGGTTCTGACGAAGCAAGAGGTAAACCGATAAACCGATAGATCCGAGCAGGTGCAAAACATGAAACTTCAGCAACAAAACCAGCATCGCGAAACAAACAACTATATAATAGTTGTAAACAAAATGACATGGTTTCATTGTACGTTCCAAATGATGTGTGATTTCTGGACAACTACAAGAAGTTGATAGAGGTTGTATCTGTATCATGTATCCCTAGCGCACCTCCTAATGTTGCAGCCGAGGAGTGGCCAACACCTAATGGAACTGATGCCCAAACTACACATGGCTACAGTCTCACATTCGCCGTGCTTCACATCCAAATTTTCAAGGAGAATGAAGAATTCACGTGATAGATCATGCTAGATCAATGATGAAAGCTGTCAGCAGTGAGCTAGACATGCAAACTGCCCTCTCCTCAGGATGTCCTGAGGGCCGGACTGCTGCGGGATGTTCCAGTTTCAATCGCGCTCACATCCTCGGCGTCCTGCTTGAGCATACAATGCAATGCCACCAAAATGCAATTACATGCAATTTCAATTACCACTAGTACATACTTTTGCCATCTTCTGCCAGATTTGTTTCATGAAGAATGCACTACACACTTTTGCATCTTTTGCCCAGTGACTCTGTCATAATCTGATATAATCTGCGCATATTTCTGGCCACTTCTGCGCCCAAACTTTCAGGCCTCCACGTGAGCATTTCCAGGACTGGCCCTGCCAGGGGTCCCGTCAGTGGTCGAAAATGAGGTGTCCTGGCATTTGAATTTGATTCAGCAGCACATTGCCCTGGCGCAACATGGTTGCTAAAGTGGCATCAAAATTAATTTAAAACAAAACATCGCAAAATACATCAAAATACGTACCTGCACCAAAACCTTCACATTCAACTGTTTGAACATCTTGCAATGACTCAGGGACTTTGGCAAGCGACTGGGAGCACAACCCGCGCTGCAGAGCAAAGCTGTAACCTTGTTGCAGCCGTGGACAAGGACAGGAATACCATGTGCTATTAAAATGTTGCACAACGAAAGCACATGGTGTACATCCATGTGCATCGTAAGTAAGTGTATGTAACTGTCCTAAGTCTTAAGTGCAAGTGAGGGAGTGGCTTCCTTGCTGAGGCGGCAACTTCTTCTTCAGATCAGCAAGTGCTGACAGCACACGGAGGGCTTCCACTCGAGCATCTTTGCTGGACGGAGAGTTCCATGCATCCTCGCGTCATGGAACAAGAACAAGGCTTCACATGGACTTTCCAGCCACGCCACCAAACCGTCTTTGAAATGTATCTCGCCAACACAATTCTAGATTTTGAACAAACTGTCGTACATATTACCATTACCATTCAGTACAGACAGTACCATGTGTTTGTTGCGGTTTGATCCTTGATTGGCCGCAGAGGATCAGAACCTTTTGAGTGCCGTGAAAGATGAAAGCTTGATCCTTGAAAACATTTGCGGACAATTTGTATATTTAAATAATTATATATATATATATATGTTTATATATTTATATTTGCATCAATTTGTCATCTGTCATCTCAAATTCCACTCTCAACACTTCAGCGAGGGATCCGATGGAGACATCGCCACCACCGTGGAAGTTTCAGAGAGCTGTGTGTTGCCAAACGGGCTCTGCCCTCCGAAGTCATCCTCCTCTTGCGCAGCCGTTGGTGCCGCAGCTGTCTCCATTGGATTGTGTGCCCAGTGTGCCCTTCCTGGAACTGCCTCTGTTGCCATTTCTGTGAGTACTGCTTCTTTCGCTCCTTTGCTTTCTATTTCTTCATTGAGGGCGCCTGTCTGAAGTTCTGAAGTCTGTGTGTCGGTGTCACCTTCGCAGTGCACCAAACCCCTCTGCAGCCCTGCATGTTTGCTAGACGATTGGCGATCGTCACAAGTGCTGTTGACACTTCCAGCTTCAACACCGCCCAGCGCGGGGGCATCTTTTGAGCGAGAGCCACTTGACACTTCCGAGATTCTGGACATAGCCCCGAAACAGCTGGAGGAAGCACTGGGCGCTTCGCTTTCATACGTGCCGATAGCTTGTTCTCCCTCAGCTTCCTCGTGGTATCTCTGCCTCCAAAATGGCCAGTGGAGCGTTTGCACACCGTGTGATACACGCACATAAATGGGAGTCTGATTATACTTGCCAAGCTTCTGAAGCTCAGCAAGCTGTCTCTCCAAATGCGCACAGCTCCTCGGTCAATTAGCTGACGCAGTGCGGATTGAAAAACACATAGGAAAACAATGGACAACACGGGATTCTCTTAGGGAACATCCAAATCTATTCACTCACAGATCTTCCGTACAAACGCGACGGGTTGGCCCACATTGCCCAAAAAATGTTGAATTCTTTGTTCAAGTTTGTTCAAGTCAAGTATCTGGAGGAGAGCAACGAACTGGCGTGCATCGAATTCGAGCTGATTGCGCAAACCATCATTTCCAGTGCTCAACAGCTCTGCCTGGCTTGAAGCGCAATTGCAAGCCAAACTGACCAACACTGATGACCACACCGCAAATCATCCCTTCAGCAATGCCAAAGAGTGTCAAAGACACGGCGCTACAGGCCTGCTTTTAGAAACATTCCTGAATCCCAGCACAACAAATGCCTAGAAAGCCTAGAAATGCCTTTGAACCTCTCAAGACTCTTGGAACATCTTGGAACTAATATGGTGGAATGGGTCTATAGGACAAAAAGGACAGGACTGCCCAAATACATCCAAATACTCAAGACCTGCTGCTCATTGAAGGAGACAAAGCGCGATCACTTTGAGAATCTTGGACGCTTGACCCAAGTCTGGAAAAACAGTGATTAAATGTGATTAATATTATTCTGCTTCAGCTTCGTGATTCTCGCACCGAAACCCTTGCCTTGAGCAATCTTACAAATTTCTGTCGCACCTGTGCAATGGCTTCATCCTTGTGTCGGTCTGCTTTTGCCAACTGGTGTCTGGCAGCCCAAACTCTCGAAACACTCCTTGGGTCGCAGCATGTCACAGCTAGAGAACATGCAATCATGCTGTTGACATTTATGGATCCAGATTGCTCCTTTGGGCATGATTTGCGCAAATGAGAGCTAGGGACAGCTTCCAGTGTTCCTATGACCTACCAACCATCTGTCTGCAAAAGCGTGTCGTCTGCAAGTCCCTTCTGCGTCGTTGGTCTGTCTCTCGAACTTCCTGCAATTGCACCAAGGATTGAAGAAGCAAACATGTTCAAAGATGCAACTACCCTGTTTTGGCCGTAGTATCATACAATATCATACACACAATCCATTAAATTCGTGTTGTGTTCATCAGGACTTCTAAGCTGGAGCAAGAAAAAACGATCTCGAACATTGAGCAAGCAATGACCAGCAAAAAAGGCATGCCTTATACATCCTTATACATCCTGACGCCAACATAAAGTCTGACGTTAAAGCCCTTGCTAATCCTTTCTGTCTGAACACGTGCACTGTGATGTTGTTGATTGCGTGCTCTCCCTGGGAACTGTTCTATCCATGCATCGATCAATAGACTATTCTTTTGGTCTCAAGCGCTTACACCTTCCGGGCTGAAGCTTAAGCACATAATTGAGGGCTTGATTTAGAACCTTCGGGCTCAATGCCTTTCAGAGCTCCACCCCAAGCCCTGATGTGCAGATTTAGATGCTTTCCAGGAGTAAGCATGTTAGTATATGTTAGTGCCTTTCTATTTAGGAGGCCCTATGTCACCACTACCCAGCAGGCGATGCCTTCAAGTAAACCTGGAATGCCTTGGTCAAGGTCCGCAGCTCTTCCCAAGACTTCCATTCCACGGCTGTTTTCATCAACTCCAATGTTCGCTTTGACCTTCGCTTCCGCCAAATGATCATGTCTGCAATTAATACAATGTTCAAAAGACTTCACAAGAGTACAGGAACGAGATAGATCTCGACTCAGTACTCGAAGATATAAGATGATATAAGCGCTTATACAAGCTCCATGAAGTGCTTGCACAGAGTGCGAATTCACCCCGGCCTCTCTTTCATCTGGTTCGCTCGAGTTTCCTCCAATTGGGAACTCAGAAAGGCCAAAGATGATGAAGATGAAGTGGATTGCGGCATGCCGTCAGGGCCGGTAGGGCAAGCAAGTGGCAAAGAGGGGCTTGAGAGTCAGTCTTACAGCACTACTGGCGTCGTCATTTGGAGCAAATAAGTGTGGAATGCATAAGAAAAACCCTTTCATATACTTCTGTGCATACAATGCATACTTTTATACGACACATTGGGCAGTAGGTATGTATATTTAACTATATTCATATGTTTATGTTCATTTACAGTAATATGTCATTTTATGGCATGTATTCTAAAGTTGCACGGTATAGCTGTTGGATGTGTCATGCACTTGCTCCACATAAAAGAAACACTCAAATCAAGAAGTCCCCATAGAAGCTCATGTGGAATCAAACAAGAGATTCGCGACAACTGTTGAGATGTGCAAAGTACCTGTATGAAAGTCATCGTCTGTGTGTGCTTGTGTTGTCTTGGCGTCTTGTCTTAGGATCTGAGCGAGTTGTTTCGATCTGATGTCTTAGTCAAATTCCATGTCGAACATTGTTGAAAAAGGCCACTTGATTTGACATGAGAATTTCCCAATGACAAGAAAACGCGTCCATGTAAATTGGCTCCGTGAGGGATGAACTTACAAATGGCTGCGGAATGGGTGTACCATCGCAATGCCGTGGGCAGGGATGACAACGCAGCCATTTCTTGCTTTGCCTTTATTGGGTGATATTGGATTCTTCCCCGAGCAAAGGGAAAAGATGGGAAAAGGCTTGAGCAGGCCTGCCAGGACTGAAGAGTTCTGCAGCAAGCACTTTTTGGCGGAAGCCGCTTTGGCAGCCGATGCTACATCTGTTCATCCATTCTTTGATGGAGCTGTCTGCAGGAGCAAAGGCCCTTCATGACTGGTCACATCTGGTCGCACTACGATCGGCAAATGCACCCAAAAGGCATCTGATGATTACTACCACCGAGGGGTATAGGCAGAGCACCTCAGTTGGGCAACACCTTTCAATGCCACTGTTTCAGTACTGGAAAGATTTCAGCAGCGCTCAAAGCTCAAACTTTTCACAAACGGGGTCTATCTGGAATCGGCACATTCCAATTTGCACCAGCACCATGATGGAGATGCTCTGGAATTTCCGGCCACATGAGAAAGAGTATGAAAGAGTTTTCTGAAAGACGAGCCATAATTCTCACACGAGCCTTCACAAATTCAATGAAGAGAAAAGGACTGCGGTTCTGAATCGGTCTGACCTTAATCTTCTCATATCTCATATCTTTTCGGTCACTGGGTGACCGACGTTGACCAGCAACAGCCTGGCTGGGGTTCTTTTGCCACGCGAGCATTCCAAAACTAAACAGAAAAAACATGCGGATGTTGCGAAAGGGATGCGCCAGATCAGTTCCAGCAAACACAAAGAGGCCAAGAAGACAGGCCAAGCATCTCCAAACGAAATCACTCACCTCATCAATGCTGAACTCAAGGGCCATTTTTTCTTCACTCACTCATCCAACGCTTGCACACAGTTTGAGAACACCTGTTCGGTGATCCCCCCGGCTTCGATCCCAAGCGCGCACGAGTTCCCAAACCAGTCCCTTTTGGACTTTTAAAGATTTCTAATTGACAAAGGCCAGGCCAATGCACGGCTTGAACGGGCATAGCGAAGTAGTTCAACAACCGTAAGAAGACCTTGGTCATCAACTTGGCATTCGTGCTTGAAAGATCTTGAAAGTATCATATATCCGATGTTCAAGACATGAAATAATAGTCTTATAAGGCTTGGCACACACTTCTTGATCGTCTCCTTATCATCGCCGTTGCTTGCTTAAATACACACCAATTGCAACCATGGGGCACACGGGCTTGCCAGAAAGGCAGCCTCTCCGACGATCATTCGCAGCACTATTTCGGTATATTTCGGTCTTATTTCCTCATTCATCATCCGTCTGCCCATCGCCAGCTTTGGAGCTCTTGCGACGGATCCTGATGCGCATGTCTCTAATGATGTGTCGGAGTTCTACCCCAAACCTCAAAGTCAAAGCTTTATCAACTTGTGTCATGCTTTTGGTGCTGTTCGTTGCAGCCCAGTGTATCCCGGTGTCCAAAGCACAACCATGCCAACCCTGATGCCTTGAGAACCAAGGACAACAATGACAATTCAACGTTTGTGAGGTGAAGGAAGAAGAATGAAGAACACAATAATACTAAATACTAGGCAATTCTTGTCTCGTTCTACCTCAGACCCCGGGGCTCTTGCATGATATGAGTACCACTGAAATCTACAAAAGAAATATAAAGAAATACTTGCATCAGTTGCAAGTTTATCTTGCCCTTTTTCTTCCTGTGCTATCCACTCAGACAGAGACATAGCACCCCCTCTCTTGATCAGACGTGCGGTGTATCAACCCCCGCCTTGCCATGATATGCTTCACTTTCTTCCTTCGATCCTTCTCGCCCGGAGGGCAAAGATGACAAAAAGCACACTGCCTGAGCAATGCAAGGGATACTTAGAACTCCGCCGAGTGCAATTCATGACAAGATCCCAAATGCAGCAGGCAAATGGAAGAATGTTGCAATGTAGACATTTCAGCCATTTCAGAGGCAGATTTTAGACTTTCATCTCCTCTCACTTTCTGAGGCACGGGCGCACCACTTTGGCATCCCTTCGTGTAGACAAAGGCACATGGCTTGCAGTTCCCAACTTCATGACCAACCGAACCGAGCGTAGCACTGGGTGGTTGCAACTCTGGACCAACCTGTGGATGGCCATAGCTCAAAAATGTTGTTTCTGGCATCGGGTAATGAACTCCTGGGACCATTGGTGGCATAGGCTGCATTGGCATAGGATGCATAGGCATCAAAGGCTGCTCTGGAAAACTGTGCTCCGGGTAACATGCAGCTGCTTGTGCTGCATGTGCATGCATCATATCGGCTTCTGGCATAGGAGGCCACTCCCAACCAGTGGGCGGGGCCACTGGTGGAGCAACTGGGGGAGCAGGAGCAGAGCTGAGGGTCGGTGGGCGCAGCGGAGTAGTGGAGAGGATCGCACCTTCGGAAGGTACTACCGGGAATGGGGCTGCGCCCGCTTCAGGCATGGGTGGATAGGGCGGATATGCATAGGATTGACCCCAAGCTGACAGCTCCCAATCCTGTGAATACCATGTAGCTGGATCCCCTTCACCATCTTCATCAAACCGAGTGCTTCCACTGCTGGACAAACAAGCGTCCTCCACAGTTTCTGACATCGAAGCTTTGCCCAACTGTCCACTGGTCTGCGTGGGTGTGGGGGGGCCAAATTTCTCCAAGCCAGGAGGTGGCGGTGGGCACTCGGAGTTGCTCTCATTACATTGATCCTGGCCTGGAATTGGAGCTACGGCTGAGGGCTTGGATGAACTTTCTGGCTTTGGTTCGGCAAGGAGGTTCAGAATCCGAGCCGACATTTCGATGAGTCTCGATTCAAAGCCCAGCACAACCCGGCTTTCTGATGCTTTTGCACGCTGACAGAGACTGGAACTCTTTCGCGCCAGCTAACTATCTCTGGTCCAGCTAAGGCACGGACCGAAATGGCTGAGGATCTCACTGCAAGTCAAATCCAACTGCAAGTCAATGCACCAAGCTGCAAGTCACAGTGTTTCAAACTAAATTAAATATATTTAAATTAGATATTCAAACTCCATGAAAGCAGAACGACGCCCTCTCTAATCTTACGAACAATTACTTTACTTCGTGTGATCCCCACCATGACATTTATACATTTTGTTACTGGCAAATCTTCTGGCATTCTATCTGACATATTTTCTGGCATTCGATCTGGCATTCTATCTGGCATATCTTCTGGCATTCTTCCTGGCATATCTTCTGGCAGATGTTCTGGCATATCTTCTGGCAGATGTTCTGGCATATCTTCTGGCATATCTTCTGGCATATGTTCTGGCATATCTTCTGGCATATGTTCTGGCATATCTTCTGGCATATTATCTGGCAAATCTCTGGCATTCCATCTGGCATTCTATCTAGCATATCTTCTGGCATACTATCTGGCAAATCTGCTGGCATTCTATCTGGCAAACATTCTGGCACTTTATCTGGCATATCTTCTGGCATTCTAGCTGACATTCTATCTGGCATACCTTCTGGCATTCTATCTGGCAGATCTTCTAACATTCTATCTGGCATATCTTCTGGCACTCTATGTGGCATATCTTTTGGCGTGGATACTCGCGGTTGAGGTCCGGCAGGAACACTGGGCGTGGATGGTCGCGGTTGAGGTCCGGCAGGGAACACTGGGCGGGGATACTCGCGGTTGAGGTCCGGCAGGGAACACTGGGCGTGGATGGTCGTGGTTGAGGTCCGGCAGGGAACACTGGGCGGGGATGGTCGTGGTTGAGGTCCGGCAGGGAACACTGGGCGTGGATGGTCGTGGTTGAGGTCCGGCAGGGAACACTGGGCGGGGATACCCGCGGTTGAGGTCCGGCAGGGAACACTGGCGGTGATGGTCGTGGTTGAGGTCCGGCAGGGAACACTGGGCATGGATGGTCGTGGTTGAGGTCCGACAGAGACCACTGTGCGTCGAGGGTCGCGGTTGAGCAGGAGGAGGAGGAGAGGAGAGGAGGAGAGGAGAGGAGACGAGGAGAGGAGGAGCAGGCAACTGACATAAAATCTAACAACCCTCACCTGGCAGGTGGGGAAAAATCATGAAAAATCCAAATGTGCTATCCTCTCTGTTGCTTCGGATCTGGTTGGAACTGTTTGGACCCTTCACAAAACACAGCATGCGAGTACTGCACCTAATTTTGTCCAATTTCACTAATCCACACCGGTCAGCGCAATCTCAGTGCTGCATTTAGGGCTAATTCGTGCAAAGCTTTACTACACATGGCTATGCGCTGCTCGCTGTTTGGAGCTTGTAGCTTATTGCAATCAGGTTGGTGGGGCTCAGTAGCTCATTGCATCCATGAGAATGAATGACCACATGCATAGCGCGGTCAAGTGGTTCGATCGTTCAGTACGGCGCATACTTGATGGCGAGCATGTCTGGGGTCACAGCAGCGAAATTGAGGTTTTTGACCACAGCCACGTCACACTTCCTGCATTGATGCACGTCACATGGCAATGTCTTCCTTGTGAAAAGATTCCATCCAAAGCTTTCACCACAGTAAACGCCTAAGGCTGCACAAAGCATAGCATTCTGCTTGTCTCGACCAACCAGCACGGTATCCACATGTCCTTCCAATTCCAAGGTGTAAACAAATTTCTCCTGAGTTTCTTCTACAGTGCCAATAGACTCAGGTCGACACCACCGACCCTGTTTTCCACCCAGGTGCACTGGGTGTCCAGTTGTCAAACGGCACCCTGGCTGCAGCTCGACTGTGCTGGCTATGCCTGTGGGGACTGGACAGCGCCAAATCCGTGTCACCCTTCGGTACTGATCCTCCACCTTGGCAGCACCTGTGAGAACCATATCGCCTTCCTGCAAGTCTTGCATGCTCCTCTGCACCGTCTGCACCTGTTTCCCAGACTTCAGGATGTGAAAAATGCAAGCATTTGTAAAGCATGTGCACCTCCAATCATCGGAGTCAGGGCTGATGGCACGGCGGGTCACGACTGGCTTTGGTTTGGGCTTGGGTTTCTTGACCCGCACAAGGCTGATAATGCTCCCACTGACCACGCTGGTGTCTCCAATTGCAGTTGTTGTGGCAAGCTCCTCTCCATCTACGAAGAACTTCAGTTGCTCACGCTCACCCTTTGTAGATCTCAGCAAACGTTCAACTTCAGCAATCTTTGTATCCCGAGACATGACTTGTTCAAACAAAGTCTCCCCAGAGAGCAAGCGCACGATCACTTCAACTAGGTCTGGGTCTCGTTGCAAGGCATCGCTTGATCGGGGGCACACCCAATCATCTGGGTCCTTGAGGCTTCTGGACAAGGCTTCTCCCACATCTGAACCAACCAAAGCCAGCTTGCTTGCCAACCACTGACGATCACCGCCTGCAGCCAAACACAACAAATCACAGAGATCTGATCTGACAGGCATGCTAACAGATCCAAATATCATGAGAGAATAACAAAAGATAATGAAAGCATATTTCGTGGTATGATGTGAGTATCACAACGAATTCACAACGTATCTCAACCGTGCTGGGAAAGCTTCGTTGTTTCTTTTCCAAATGGTGAATGACTTGGCAGCGAAGTGGAGAAATAACAAACAAAACTAAAACATGCTTGCCAAAACATAATAAAACAAGTGGAATGTAGACTGAATGCTTGGAATCGACTGTGTTCAAACTCTGCTGTAGTGAAGGAATCTCCGGTCAAACAAGCGTGATACACGCAAGCCATCAACGGTTGTCCAGAAGTCTAGTCAATGTAAAAAGAAATGCACGATTCATTTACCCCGTCGTCCATGTGATTTTGATTTTTGAAAAGCCACCTGGAATGAAACATCCAAGCGTGATGACGTTGTCCTCTGCTTCCTCTGAGACCATGCTCTTGCGAAAGGGCCAAAGGTTGGCTTCTTTCAAAGCAGCCACTTCTCTGGATGCAAAGGCTTTGAGTTTGCTTCGCATGAGCTTGTTGAGCTCCCCCATCGCCACCTCAGAGTGTTCTCCAACCGTCTTGCGCATAGCACTGCCCGATTGAAAAGAGTGAAACCACTCACAATTGGGAAGGACATATTCAGAAATTCATGATTTTTTGGTGCAAAGGCATAATCTGCAGCAAAGCCAAGAACTCAGCACTGTATTCAACATACCTTCATATCATTTTAATGCATTTCATAATTTTCATATCCTTCATCCCACCTTCAGCATATCTTCTCATTTCGTCAGAGTTTGACATAGTTACATAGTTCAACACCATTCATCACCACTAGCACAGGTGCCGTCCCGTTTTGTCCCGTGCCTGTCCACTGTCTGGATCTCCTGGAGGAGGTGCATCAGAGCGCTTGCAGGGAATGTGCGGGATGACGTGGCCGAAAAGACGGCGGCAGTCGTCAGCGTAGACAGATGGATGTGTTGTATGGGCATGCCATATCCAATCCATCTCAGCAGAAGGCCCCGCCTGCAATTGTCTGCAACTGCTGAACCACCTGGACCTTGCCTTCCTGAATCCATCTGAATATATCTGAATCCTATCACTTGGCTGCCTTGAATGCAAGCTGACAAGTTGCCATTTTGTTCAAGGAATGAAGCCCGTTGAAGGTTCATTACAGTAAGGACACGATTGTCACGGACGCAAACAAATCCCACATCCAAGCCTTGCTATCTTCTCCAGCTTCTCCCATGATGATAAGAAAGCGGCGGTAGAAGAGCCCTAAGAGTTTCATCAGCTCATTTGCAACACCACCATCCATAGAGGCACCCAAGCAAAGCGCTCTTGGATCGCAAAGAGGATACAACCCAGCGTTGTGGAGGGATGAAAGACCGTCGACAAAGGCCAATGGAACGCTTGCCAAGGCATCAGCTCCCAGTTTAACCCAACCCGAAGTGATCTTTTCAAATTTCGTCTTTGCAAGGGATTTGGTGAGGCCAGCAGAAATCGGAGGAGGCAATGGCCCTATAGTCCGACTCAGGTAAGCGCCGCAGAACTGGGTGTATTGACTGGCATGGAGTAGGTGTGCCAGCCAAATCAACCAAGCTTCCAGTGGTGGACTCTCAGAAGGTCGCACGTACAAAGAAGGGGATTTCTTGTGTTTCAATGCTTGGCTTTTCATATAGCCAGTGTATATGCCTTGAAACTCCTGAACCTTCTTGTTATCCCACCATTGAGCATAGCGCGAAGCATCCATCCAGTTCTTCAGCAAGGCAGTGGCTGCAAATGGAGCTGCCACATGCAACGGCTGACAACTTTGAATCAACTTGCTCACATCTTCGACTGTCACTGGACCTTCATCCTTGAGTCGCCGCGACAAATAACCTGAGAAGTCCATGTCAGACTCAAAGTCCAAGGCTAAAAGAACTTCTGCAAATTGCCTGCTTTCCCATACCTGCAGATCTGCAGAATTTCTCGGAAAACCTTTCAGCAAAATCACTTGTCCCGGTTTTGCCTTCACTGCATTCATCACTGCTTTTACCACCGCTTCTGAAGATTCTGAACTTGAAATTTCGTCGACATTGAAGCAGCTCACTTGATACGGCAAACCCATCTCTACCACCGCATTGCAAACCTTGCCATATTTGTCTGGCTTCCCGCATGCAAACACCACTGCTGTTTGCAAATGGAAGAGAGCAGAAGCCACGACAAAGTCCATGGATCCGGTGGAATCAACATAGCGTGTTCGACCTGTGTCATGGTAAGCGGTAATGACCGGATCAGTCTCCGCCCTGTAGTAAGCCATCCTCTCCTGAAACGGTTGCTCGTCCGTACGACCTCTCTCCATCAAACGCACTTGCAAGACATCATCAGGCGCTTCTAAAATCAGCACCAAGGATGGCTTGACCACCTTGTCCAGTTCTTCCCAGAAATTGAAGCCGTCAATCTGTCGAGGATAACCATTCACAAAGGCCAAGTGTGGACCTAATCCCATCTTCTTCTTGCCCTTGTCCATTGCCTCGAACAGGAAATTCAAAAGGGCTGACTGGGCAGAGATTTTGCTGCCACTTCGCAGCTGTACACCCAGATCAAAGTGCTCACCTCCCAGGATTTCTGCCAAACGATCGCCCAGTGTAGACTTTCCGCTTCCTGGAGGACCCATCAGCAATATGATCTGACAATTTGATGAAGGCTCGACATCAGTTGGGACTGAAAGCAAGGGAGGTAGACGCTTGATGTCTCCTGCTGACCAAGTTGATCTTGGCTGACCCATTCGCTGGTGCGCCTTCAACTCTGCTATGGCTTCAAGAAGTTTCTTCGCCTGCCCAAGCGGCACCTTGAGCTGCTGGAGGTCAGAGAGAGTCAAACCATGAAGCACACCACCATCGATCTTCTCTTTCACAAACAGCTGGGCCAAATCCTCGAACCCTGATTGCTCCAGCCAGCGAGACACAGCTGATACATCCCAAACACCAGACATGGCAGGGACTCGGCTTTGAAGTCCACTCCTAAATGATTAATTAATTGATGTGTCTGCAGTCCGCACGTATACATGTATTCCCCTGATTGTGCTTCCGAGACAAGTGATCCTGTCTTGACTTTTGCACCGAGCCTTGCTGCTTCAAAATCGCAGCACTAAACAAAAAGAGCCAAAATGAGCCACATTGCAAAGAGCATCAAGCGGGGCTGTAATCAGTTGCATGTGATGCAATCATATTCTGATCAACAAACAATCAACGCATGTCCACAGTGCAAACGACTTAGATGCAGCATGTCAATGATGCATCAACGTGTTTTAATACGTTTCAAGTTTCAATATTATACAGTGATTGGTGTGCAGTGTGAAACGCAATCTTATCAGGCCCGCCTTGGCAGCCCTAACCATCTCTTGCCCAATGCAAGCACCTGCGACGAGAACATAACGCATATAAGCATTGCAATCATTGTACGATACTGCCATGTTTCGTCTCACATGTCTCACGTGATTCTTGTTTTTGCATTTTTTGCCTGAGTCTCTTACAGTGAAACCTACGACACAGTAATGCGCAGCTACTGACAAGTGATGACAAGTGTAGGGTGGGACCTTCGTCTCAATCAGCAAGTCAAAGCATGTAGATCGTGCTAGATCGTGCGTGATCGTGCGAACTGACAGTTTCATCTTCAGGATGTAATCTTCGCGTCCGCAGTCCAACTGTTGACAAAATGCACCATTGATCTTTTTGTCGATCAAAAAAATGCTGCAAATTCTCATGGGTCCATTTGCAGCAACTTGACGCTTTCAATCTCGAGTCTGCAGAGCAAACTTATAGCTGTTCTCTCGGACCTGAGTTCTGAAGCACGCAAACATGTTGAAGGCGTTCGGAATTCTTCGGAATTGCAATTCAGTCAAAACATTAAAGGAATTTGCGAATGTTTTGCGATTCAAGAATCCGCTGCATAGTTTGACCAACTACTGCTGCAAGCGCAGTAGTATCTAGCTCGATGACGGAGTTCCTCAAACCACATGGCACAACAATGCTCAACACATCCCAGCAAAGCCTCCTAGCTCGTGGCAATGCCAAACTTTGTCTGAATATGCAACATTGAATTGAACTTAGCGTCTCTGCATGGTCAAGTAGTTGCAGCGAATATCGCCAGTTGTCAACTCTTTCGATGCCTAACGGAGCACGGCAGCGTTAAACTGCTTATAGAATACTTCTGGTGTTCAGACTTGCCTGACGTGCCCTTTGTATTTCCGTGGCCTATATTGGCCTCCTGGAAGGTGGAGTTAGCAGCTGTCATCGTCAAACTAAAAAAATTGTTCCGTGCCTGCATGCCACAGCTCAGAGGGCACCAAGCCGTCAACGCGTGCTTGATTGAGAATATGCAACGCTAGGACCTTGGAGCATGCGTGATACGCATGGAACATGCGTTTCTGGAAAAGGAATTCTGCTTGAAATTTTTGCAGTCGGTTATTGGGTAGCTGACTTTGATTTGGGGACATCACTGTTATATAGGTCTGAATTGAACCATTTATTTTTTCATATCCTAGTGCTCCCCATAGTTAAAAACTCAACGGCAAATAATAAAAAATGATTAGTAAATACAAGTGCGACATTTGTTATTTTTGTTAATGCCCGCACACACCCGGACCTGGAATCTGAAAGCAGCATTTGGACCAAGACCATGCACAGCTAATCAACCATTATATGAACATTAATTAATCAAATCAACAATATGTTCGCCGAAAAGGTTCCTAATAATACTAATAAGAATCGAAGTTCTTCACTAAGAAGTCAATTGTCCAATCATGTTCCATCTGTAGCGTCACCCCGGTACAAAAATCAATTAAGATGCGCTTGGCGAAGAAGTTCCCTGATAAGCGCCTTTTTTAGTTTATAATAATTTATATCCAACCATGGAACAATTTGCTGCCGAAGAAATTCCCTAATCAGGAGGAACAAGATACCTATACATACACTAAAAAACTGTACATATAGTTTCACATTCATTTTGTAGCAACTTAATCAAAAGCCTCGAAACATGGCCTCTTTTATTTCACCATGTTACCAGATAGGGTCAATAATAATTATTGACGTTAGCCAGGAATTCGAGATATCTGATGGAAAACTTGAAAGTTGCAAAAAACCATTACCAGAAGATATATTATTCTATTTATTAACTATATTATATATTATTCTATTTATTAACTAAGGGAATTCGAATTAAAACAAAGCATATATAATTATAACCACGTATAGTCATAGAGTCATATAGATAATTCACTACAACAAACCCCAAATTAAACATACAATGACTTGCTATATTTGTTCCACATATAAAGAAAATCTGTGATTTATCCGTAACATAGCTATGTATGTTCTGTTCTGCACACATTTTTCATGTACCCAGCATATATTGTTCACATTCCAAACGCCCACGCGAGCAAGAAGCGTTAATCCATTTTCACGGCGAGACGACGGTAGACGGATTTTAAGACCCCAAGGTCCTCAAAGTCAGGATCCTAGATCAATTTATTTTCCATTGCGGCTGGTGCAGGTTAAATTTCACATTGGGAAATGAACATGAAGGGGAATCATGGGTAGTCATGTATCACCAGATTTTTTGATTTCTGCCGATAAAAATCCAAGATCAGCAGAACTCAATTAATCCCTTCCTCCTAATACTAAACGTCCCCCTAATACTAAAAACAGGCATCCATCTCCAATTTCCGAAAATTTCAGTTTGGCCAATTTGACTTTTAATTGATCCCCTTTAAAAAACAATTCAAAAATCAACCTACCATTTGTGGGTTCTCCCCCCTAATACTAAAAACTAATTCACCCCGGGGTGTTTAGTATTAGGGGGGCCTAGTCCCAATCCCTCACTCCAAGCTGCCTAGCTACTCTAGCAATTAGGGGTAAGCTTCTAACTGCCATTTTTGGCAATATTTTAATTGCGTTATATAAGGAAATTTAATTGATTTTGAGATCGGAAAAAATAGTTTTTAGTATTAAGGGTTTTAATTTAGTATTAGGGGTAAGCTTCGAACTGCCATTTTTGGCAATATTTTAATTGCGTTATATAAGGAAATTTAATTGATTTTGAGATCGGAAAAAATAGTTTTTAGTATTAAGGGTTTTAATTTAGTATTAGGGGTAAGCTTCGAACTGCCATTTTTGGCAATATTTTAATTGCGTTATATAAGGAAATTTAATTGATTTTGAGATCGGAAAAAATAGTTTTTAGTATTAAGGGTTTTAATTTAGTATTAGGGGTAAGCTTCGAACTGCCATTTTTGGCAATATTTTAATTGCGTTATATAAGGAAATTTAATTGATTTTGAGATCGGAAAAAATAGTTTTTAGTATTAAGGGTTTTAATTTAGTATTAGGGGTAAGCTTCGAACTGCCATTTTTGGCAATATTTTAATTGCGTTATATAAGAAATTTAATTGATTTTGAGATCGGAAAAAATAGTTTTTAGTATTAAGGGTTTTAATTTAGTATTAGGGGTAAGCTTCGAACTGCCATTTTTGGCAATATTTTAATTGCGTTATATAAGGAAATTTAATTGATTTTGAGATCGGAAAAAATAGTTTTTAGTATTAAGGGTTTTAATTTAGTATTAGGGGTAAGCTTCGAACTGCCATTTTTGGCAATATTTTAATTGCGTTATATAAGGAAATTTAATTGATTTTGAGATCGGAAAAAATAGTTTTTAGCATTAAGGGTTTTAATTTAGTATTAGGGGTAAGCTTCGAACTGCCATTTTTGGCAATATTTTAATTGCGTTATATAAGGAAATTTAATTGATTTTGAGATCGGAAAAAATAGTTTTTAGTATTAAGGGTTTTAATTTAGTATTAGGGGTAAGCTTCGAACTGCCATTTTTGGCAATATTTTAATTGCATGAATAACTAATTAACATGACTTCGATTTGGTTCCCTAATAATAAATACCCCCCTAATACTAAAAACTACCTGCCGTGTTTTGTATTAGGGGGGGGGGTTTAGTATTAGGAGGAAGGGATTACACATTTTGTGAGGTGGAGTTCCGCTGAAAAAATATTTTCAGCACAAATCCTAGGTCCAAACGTTGAATCAAGAGAATTTCACTACACAAAACCAGAAGATGAGTTCCGCCCAGGCATAGGTCTGAATACTAAGTTCCGCCGAGGAAAAAAAAGCAGAAGTCAGGCACACAATTTGTGTAGTGGAGCTCCGCCGAAACCAAATTACACTAAAGTCCGCAAAAATAGTTTGCAGTCAATTCGGGGGAACAGGATCTCAATTTTTCGCCGAACATATTTTTTTTTCAGCAGATCTCATGCCCCATAATCGGCCGCCAAAAAAAAGACCGCAAAGTCCGCAGAGATTTGTTTGGCAAAAAAGTCTGAGACTTCAATGCAAAGTTCTGAGCCCTAGGCCCTACCCTACCTATTGGCCATGGGTGGCACATGTGATCGGGAGGAACTTGCCTGGGTAACCCTTGGAAAATCGAGTGGACTTGGTGATGGGCAATATAACCAACCACTACCATGGTCTGGCCCCATGGAAAATGGTTTTAATTTGAGAATTCAAAAGAATTCCCTTCCCCGGGTCCCCCGTCCCCTAATTAATGCTCAAACCCACCCACAAGGTTAAAAATATGTCATAGCTTATTAAAACTAGATAAAGAAAAAATAATTGTAATTTTTGCAAGTGCGACGTTAGTTATACAGGAGATGTCCGCGCACACCCGGGCCTGGAATCTGAAAGCAGCACTTGGACCAAAGCCATGCAAAGTTAATCAACAATTTCAACATACGAACGTTAATCAAATGTCTTCACTAAAAAGTCAATTGTCCAATCATGTCCAATCTGTAGCGTCACCCAATACAAAAATTAACTTGAGGCCGGGGGTGGATGACGAAAGCTAGCGGGGTAGGAGAAAGAAGGAAGGGAAGAGGTGAGTTGCGGAGGGACTGTCATCAGCGTATCGCGGCATTGTTCGTCCCAACGAGGATGCAACAATAATATATTGATATATGATATATAACAATGATATATATGGGGGAGGGGGCAGGGGGGGGCCCTTTCGCGGGAAAAATCACGTGATGTCCTTGGGGAGCCCCGGAATACGTGCTAAAGCAAGAAGACTCTAGCGAGCGGACGCTAGCTTTCGTGATAATGACAATAATTGCCAATAATATCCAATAATGATAAAATGTAATTGAATAACGATGATGATGATGATGATGATGATGATGACGAGGACGAGGACGAGGACGATGGAGAGGACGATGACGATGATGATGACGATGATGATGACGATGATGATGATGGTGATGGTGGTGATGGTGGTGATGGTGGTGGTGGTGGTGGTGGTGGGAGAGAGGGGGGGGGCCCTTTCGCGTGAAAAATCACGTGATATCCTTGAGCAGCCCCCCCAATACTTGCTAAAGCAAGAAGACTCCAGCTAGCTGACGCTAGCTTTCGTGATTAAAATGCGCCTGGTGAAGAAGTTCCCTGATAAGCATCTTTCTTTGAATTTATATTTAACCAAGGTCAAGCACAATTTGCTGCGTGAAGAGCCACCCTAATCAGGACCAAAAAATCTACCAAAACTTTACATATATATTTACATATGCAATATATATATATGTGTCACATTCATTTTGTATCAACCGAATCCAAGCCTCAAACACATGGCCTCTTTTATTGTTGGGGTCCAAGACCACCATTTCAATCCAGTTCACCATTTAAGGTCAATCGTAAAATTGTAGTAAATTTCATATTAAAATAATGAGGGGAAAACCTCGAAAATTGTGAACACAACTGCTAGCAAATAGTTTCTATTAATTTCAAGAAACTTACCAAAAGCATAAAGGGGTGAAAGGGAATCACCAATTATATCAAACTTAAATTTGGATGCTCTATGACCCATGATCTAGATCCTAAGACCCCAATTCGATTACCAAAAAAATGAATACCAAATTAAGCGAAATTATACTGAGCTTGTGCTTCGCATCAATGAGCGGTCAAAGAAAGTCACTCCCATCATTCAAAGGTATTCCACGAATATAGCAAAACACTTGGAGCCTCATTGGAGCCAAGTCTCCCAGCTACATCCAGTTGCCAAAATCCCCAACAAATGCGGAACATCTGGACGCAGGCTTTGCAGCTTCATGGCATTCAACAGCTCCAGGGATTCTTTGACCTACCAATTTTGGCCACCCTTGGGTCACCATGGGGCCACCATTGGCTCACCAAATCATCGGTAAAACCTTAAAACATATTAAAAGGGCGTACTTCCTCGTGAAAAATAGAAGGCATTTAATATTGTTTAATGATAATTCATGTTGACTCAGGCCAAGTGGGCACACATTGGTCCATTTCGCATAGCGCATAGTCAGAGCCCCACTGCACAACGGGCAGCAACTGCTCAACGCTGGGCCTTCTGTGCTGATGCTAGCGACGCCAACCCCATACTGTACGCATTCGTAGTCGCCTGGGGGCCCTGCAACCTGTGGCGGAAGGATGCGAAAGGTACAACATGCTAGAGTCAAAACATGTCAAAACATGTCAAAACTCACTGATTGCTTCCAGAGAGCCTTTCCAATTAGCACACAACGCCCAGCTAGTGTCACGAAAATCCACACATACGGAAAAGAAACCCAGCTTAAGGCTTAACGGAATGTCTTGACCACGATCCCTTCGAGTACAGTGAAGTGAATGGCCCAGCTCTGATCCCATGCCTGATGAGTCTTTGAGCATGTTCCCATTTGCCAATACTGCTCCAAATTGCGAGCTCAAAGTGCCGCTCCTGAGCAGAACCAATTGGCCTCGCAGAAATAGCAAACAAGATTGTGAAATGACAGCCTGTTTGACAACAAAAACATAAAGTTCCATAAAGTTTCTAATTTGAGCTAATTATTGTTGACTAATTGCCTACTGCGAATCTGAAGGGCGCGCTGCCAAAAATGCTGTGTCGCCATGCCTCCAGCATGGGAGCTGTGGAGAAATGAAGACTATGTCTTCAAAAGCTAAAAGTGTAGCAGTTGTCCATCTTTATGAATTATATGATGGATAGTCTATAAGTATAACATATGTATATTATACAAATAGTAATAATCGCCAATAATAGTAATTATATTTCGAAATATAATAATAATGATAATAATAAATGATAATATAATATATATAATGAATTTATACACAATCTGTACACTTTCTGACACATTCTGGACAACTTTGGCATCGCAGCCTGGCAGTATGCTCTGCGCTGAGGAAATGTCAAGCCGGAGTTGAGCGATGTTCAAAGCGCGTAGCAAGTCGAGACTGAATGCCCAATGACCTGACTGTGCAAAAACACGAACCAAAACTGGTCAAGCTATGTATGGTGGTGATATTCTATGATTCTATGTGGCCCTTGTTTGCCATCGACCTTCTTTCAAGATCCGCCAACCTATGAATTCTCCCTCAACATCATGTCCAGGCCTTAATGCAGGAGAGTTGCTACTTTTGGCACATCCATTCGCAGCCATGTGATGTAGCTCCAAGTCTGGTGGTGCTGCAGCCCAGCTCCCAGTTTCCATGGCCTACAGCACAGAAGTCTCAACCTCCTCAAAACCACTCTTCCAACTTGGCATTTGTCAAAACGCTAGAGCCCCAGAATGGTTCATGTCCATGCGCTTTCAAGAGCAGTCAAAAGCATTCAAACGGCTTCTCCATCCACCTGCACAGCTTGGGTCCAGCAATGCGACCGGCTGCAAGAGGAAGCCAACAAGCCAAATGCAATGACGCTCACCTTGCAGTGCGTTCACATTCGGTGCCCTGTTCAATCTGGACTGCCATGACCCAAGGGGCGTGACCAATTTCCTTGCTGAAGTTGCTGATACATTTTGATCCCTGTTATCAATTCCCATAAATTCCCTCTCTCTTCCTTAGTGTCACAGCTGAGTTCAACTGAGGTGTATGACTTTCACAATGTTTCAGGCCTCCAAGCTCCAAAAGCGATGAAGTAAATCTGTGATCTCCTCAGCAAAACCGTCCCAAAGGCAAGTGTCAAATGTTGCTTGCAGCAACCGTGGGCATCCGCTGCCTTTGGGTTCCTCTGACATCTTTAACTCTTACTGCCTTCGGGTTGTTACAATCTTTGCCTGTGATTGATTACTGCAAGTAATCAACACAAGACACAACCCAAACATACCAAAACGCCGCTTATTTGCAAAACAAGACAATCAAAGCCGTGAGAAGCAAAACCAACCACGCCATCCGGCGGCCATTTCCTTTCCTTGCTTAAAGCAAACCTTGACCAACTGAGGCTTGTTGCGAGCTTCTCTCCACCTTTGCACTTCCTGCAGTGGCTTTGCAAGTGCACATAGGGTGACCATGTCTCCCCGGACAGTGCTGCTTCTGCATGTCGTCATTTTGGACCTTAATGGAATCAATAGGCAACCACCAGCAAGGCCTCGCACCGTGATCATGCAGTCATACAACTACTGTGGTCAGTGGTCGGGCATTTGAGCATGGTATGTAAGCAGCTTTGCAAAGTCAACATTTTCTACAACCCTCGTCTGGGCAGTCATAAGCACTTCAGGGAAAGGCTCTGACAACGAAAGCGTCCAAGTTCTTGAAGCTTGAAGACAGCAAAGTCGGTGGGCGCCTGTTGTGGCAAAATTCTTGGGTTGTTTTTTTCATTTTTTTTTCGTGGCATTTCTTGCCCCTGGGCGCCCACATGCCTTATATAATCGCATTTGAATCATTTGATAACAATGGCATACAAAATTATATATACATACATATCATACATATTATATTCATACATGATCATACATGGTTGTTTCTGCTTGCATTGTCTTTTTGCCACCGCAGCTTTGTTCAATCCGACCCAATGGACAAAGCCGGTCAAGACCTGTTTCCTTGAAGTTCGGCTAGGTGCAAAATGTAGCTCTCAGCAACCCTGTTTTGAAGCACTTGCTGTGCTGCCTAAGATGCACAAACCCTGATTGGAACGGTCCTTCCCAGTTCATGGCAGGCAGCAGCAACATCACTTTCCGCTCATGTCCATTTGCCGTCGCTAACCTGGTGCGGAATGATTTGTAGCCATTTGATGCCATGGGAGCTCTTGACATATGAGTCTAGCAACAAATCAACTGCACAAACAACTTTAATATTGCGTACAAGCAACGATCGCTCCCATGCATGCTTCGCGGAGCAAGCTCCTGGACAGACTTGAGGCCCAAGAGGATGATTGGATTTTGATATGCTGAATACAGATTGCCTAGAGACCTGGCAGGATTTGAGCCCGTGACCATCTGCTTCCAAGACCGCTTCAAAATGCCCCAGGAGCTTGGGGGGCAGGGGGGGAGGGGGGTTCGGAGTGAAAAATCACTGTGTTGGACTCAGGCCTGCCCCTCCCCTTGCTGAAGCAAGAGTATCTCCAGCTAGCTACCGCTAGCTTTCGTGACTTCCACACAAACGCCAAAGAAATTCATCCATGCATCCATAATCCTTTATTGCATATAGGAATTGACACATAATATCACATATATCATATATCAATATATATCATATATCATCATATATCATCATATATCATCATATATCATCATATATCATCATATATCACTACCATGCTGTATAATCTTGATCTCACTTGTAAATGCCGCTCCTGAGGGCCTAGGGGAGATTTTTCGTTCATCCCACACGGCAACTACCCAGGCATGTGCAACATGATGGACCATACCCCGCCTGCCAAAGCACCCGCCATTATGCTGTTGGGCTCCACTGTCAGCTGCTTTACCATCCTGTAAGCGCGCAAGGCATACATCCATTCTGGCGCTCTCTTGGTGTGCTGCCCTGCAAAGCCGGCAATCAATGTGCCAAAACCTTGGTGCTTGGAACGTTTTGTGGCTGCAGATGTAGCGAAGTACATTCTGACCCCATACGCGACAAAGGGGCCAACACACAGCAACCAAATGGAGAGGGGCAACACCCTGGATGCATTTTTCCCAACCCGCCTAAAACATAGATACTGTATCATGCCTATGCATCGTTCACAATCTTCCTATCTTCTATTTGGCTTCAAGAAACATTAGAAACAACAAGTTGAAATGATTGAAGCCTTCTTAGAGACTGCAATCCTCAGTTCGCAGCACTTGCTTGGACGCAGAGTCAAATGGATCACCTTTTAGCAGCTTGTAAGATCATGTAAGAGCAAACCCAGTTCCAGCCTGAAGGAAGCAATAAAATTGCTCAAAGATGTCCAAAGCAACCCGGTTACCTTTATCTTTTAAGGGTCGCCATGACTGACCTCACAGGTGGGACCTTGTATGTCCAAAATCGGAACACATATTTCAATTCATGTCTATAATATCTATAATATGATGCCAGTAATTCAGGGCTGCCTGCTGGTCAAGAAACTCATGATATTGCTGACCAGCCTTTGCGTGGCTAGACCCGCAAAAAGAGCGCAAATCAGCTGCCATCTATGGCCAGAATCAGGAATTTTGGGATTTGATGTGCATGCATCCATCGCAGTGTTGAAGGACACTACCTGAGCGCACAGCGTATGGACAGTTCGACTTGAATGTGGGTCCATGGGTCCACAACCTATTGCTGAGTCCGTACCGCCACAATGATTGGAACCACCTAAGTTTTGGATAATTTTGGGTTGTTCAGGTGCTCAACCTGCGTGCCATCAGTTCTCCTCGTATAAACTGAGCCAACTGATTACATACATATATTAATATATATATGTGTGTGTGTGTTTCGACAATCAAACCCGATTGAATCAACAACAAGCAAACGTTCATGCAATGCGAAGAATGACATGAGTTGGTATCACTCAGGGCCTGCCAAGAGTGTTGAAAACAGACATTTCTTAAAATAAACGATTAAACAATGTTAGTTTAATTATTAAAGCTACTGTCTCTCTATTGTGTTATGATGTATTATGCAGATTAGTGCGACTGAACTTACCGACTGCTTCCCGTGTGCAGCCTAGAGTAGAAAGCTGCCTTTGACCTGGCCAGGTCACATCGGCTCCCGTGGGCCCAATGCTCCGTAGGCTCCGTAGGCTCCATAGGTTGTTCAAAGCCAACTCCCATTGCAAACCTTGACCTGTGACACACTGCACAGAAACATCACAGAAAATTGTCCAAAGTTTGCACGTATTTGGACATTTGGACATGTGGACATTTGGACATGTTTTACCTTGCAATCTTTGCAAGTGCTACACATCGATTCTTGATGAAATCATCTTGAGCACCCCATTTAAGGAGACTTTATCCAAGTCACTGAAGCTGCTCAAAAGACAGTTGCTATTGACCTAGGTTCAGCATGGTTCAGGTTCATAAGCAACATGGCAAAGGCAAATCTGATCAGTATGTGTTGCAACTCCTCCAAGCTTCAAAAACGGAAGCCAACTATGTCAAGTGTGTTTACCTGGCAATGGCCAAACTGCATACCATTGCAACTATGATGCTGTCTACATAGTGAACCTGCTTAAATGCTCCAGGGTGGAACATATGGGGGTCGAATGCATTGATGTGACAAGCAGCGATGTTCACAATGCAACCTTTCTCTACCGCGCTCTGGAAAGCCATCTGAGCCTTTGCCCATCTGCTTGCTCGAGCAATCGCTGCCAGAGTTGAAGAAAGTGCTGCCAAAGAACTTGCTGCATGCTTCCTTTGCGAGCGCATCTGGCACTGTTGCTTCAGAGAACAAGTAACACCAACTGCACTATATCATCTCCAGAGAAGCGTCCACTATATAGTGGTCCACAGCCCACGGGCCCACGGACCCACGAGCTCAGCGGTTCACGTTGTTCTACCAAGCTGTTACACTAGACACCCTTTGTAAAAAACTTGTACCAAGAACTTGTGCCAGATAGATAGGAAAAAAACAAATAGATAGACAGGCAGACAGATACATAGATAGATACATAGATAGAAACATGGATAAAACAAAAATAGAAACAGAACATAGATAGGAAAATAGAAAGGAAGACACATAGGAAAATAGCTGGGAAAATAGATAGGGGAAAAATATAGATATAGATAGAAAGAGATAGAGATAGATAGATAGATAAGATAGATAAGATAGATAGATAGATAGATAGATAGATCGATCGATCGATCGATAGATAGATAGATAGATCGATCGATCGATAGATAGATAGATAGAAAGATAGATAGATAGGTAGATAGATAGGTAGATAGATAGATAGAGAGAGAGATAGATAGATAGATAGATATATAGATCGATAGATAGATAGATAGATAGATAAGATAGATAAGATGGATACGATAGATACGATAGATAAGATAGATAAGATAGATAAGATAGATAAGATATAAGATAGATAATATAGATAATAAAGGTAAGATAAGATATACAATATAGATAATATAGATAATATATAATATAGGTAAGATAAGATAGATAAGATAGATAAGATCGATAAGATAGATAAGATAGATAAGATAGATAAGATAGATAAGATAGATAAGATAGATAAGATAGATAAGATAGATACGATAGATATATATATATAGATAGATAGATAGATAGATAGATAGATATATAGATAGATAGATCGATAGACAGATCGATCGATAGATAGATAGATTGATAGATAGATAGATTTAGATAGTTAGATAGATAGATAGATAGATAGATTGGATTAGATTAGATTACTGTAGATTAGATTGGATTGGATTAGATTAGATTGGATTGGATTGGATTAGATTAGATTGGATTAGATAGATAGATAGATATATTAGATATATAACGGTATATATACAGACTAGATAGATAGATAAGATAAGATAAGATAAGATAAGACAAGACAAGACAAAACAAGATAGATAAATGGATAGATAGATAGATAGAAAGAAAGATAGATAGATACGATAGATACGATAGATAAGATAGATACGATAGATACGATAGATAAGATAGATAAGATAGATACGATAGATACGATAGATAAGATAGATAAGATAGATAAGATAGATACGATATATAAGATAGATAAGATAGATAAGATAGATAAGATAGATAAGATAGATAAGATAGATAAGATAGATAAGATAGATAATATAGATAAGATAGATAAGATAGATAAGATAGATAAGATATAATATAGATAATATAGATAATATAGGTAAGATAAGATAGATAAGATATATAAGACAGATAAGATAGATTGATAAGATAGATAAGATAGATAAGATAGATAAGATAGATAAGATAGATAAGATTGATAAGATAGATAAGATTGATAAGATAGATAAGATTGATAATATAGATAAAATAGATAAGATAGATAAGATAGATAAGATCGATAAGATAGATAAGATAGATAAGATAGATAAGATAGATAAGATAGATAATATAGATAAGATCGATAAGATCGATAAGATCGATCGATAGATAGATAGATAGACAGATAGATAGACAGATAGATAGACAAATAGATAGGTAGATAGGTAGATAGATTGATACATGGATCTGTTTATTGATAGATGGATAGATAGATAGATAGATAGATCACTGGATGGATAGATCCAAAGATCCATAGGTTGATAGATCGTTACTGTTTGTAGACTGATGCATCCATAGACCGATCGATCCATATTGCGCAAAGAATCATCAAATATTTGGCTACATATCACAGCATATAATATAGAGACATGGCGTGAGCCAAGGCATACTCAGGTGGGTTGAACAATCGCGGATCAATCGCTTACCAATCGCAGTTTTCATCGACTTTGAATTGATCTGGTTTATCAGACTTTGAACTTTGTTCCGATCCTTCTTTGCCATCGGCTGTCACTATTGAACACAGTTGCCAGACAAACCCGGATACAAGTCCGAAAACAACAAATTAAAGTGTGTATATAATAATATATTGATTTCGGTTCTTACAATAGTTCGCTTATCATACTGTACAACAGTGTTAGTCTCAATCGCGAACGGATCGCAGATCAATCGCGATGTGGGGTTCTACATGTTGATAAATATAATATATATGAGCGATTGTGAAAACCCTAGGTTCACGGAAAGGACATCCACAAATTTGGGAAGGTCCCATCGCTTACCACACATTTGTACAATAATGATATATGGTAAACTTGGGGGGTATCGCTTGCAGGAAACTGCTGCATTTTATATATATATATATATATACATATGTGATGAACTATGAATAATATGTGATATTTGGGTATCGCTAATGTGGATATTAGAGAAATATGATGACATAACCTTGAAAAGGGGTATCGCTAATTTGGGAAGGTCCCATCGCTTACCTCGTGTTTTTAACAATTTCCATCAATTTCCATAAACCAATGTCCGTCGAATACATATTTAGTATTGCCGGGGTTTTTAGGGTTGCTCATATATATATATAAATGTTATGTGCCCTTTCATAATTCTTTGACTTGTATTTACGATCGGCTCCCAAATGGTATTAGATGAGAGTAGGAGAGAATGGCCCATCTGCACGTGCAATGTGTGATTTGCCTTGTTTCGGTTAACATTGTATATCTTAGACATAGTGGGACCGAATGAAGCAATCCACCGACCTCCTTATGGTATCCCGTCCCGATGCCTGCCGCTGCAAAGAAGGAGAGAAGCTAATGGCCAGTGAGCGCCAGGCATCTGCCTTGCAAGTAGCGGAGAAACTTCCTACAAATCTACAAATGCCTTTCAACGGAATAGTATTAGCATGTATTAGCCAATGTCAAATCCGCCTCCCAAAAAACACACCAATCCCACATAATCCTTGAAACTCGCATCTAATGAGTATCATTCATGCGTTGTGTTCTAGTCATTTCTAGTCTGTCCATGTCTGTCCATCTCTCTCCGGCTGTTTCTCATGTTCGATTCTGTATAGCACCTACCGAGACACCCTTTCTGCGAGGCTCCGATGACGGCTCCAAAAGAAGCTCCATCAACCTCGAGACCTTCCACCTTCAAAAAGGTAAGGACCTTGGTAGGTCATGGATGGTCTTGGTATGTCTTGGTATGTCTTGGTATGTCTTGGTATGTCTTGGTATGTCTTGGTATGTCTTGGTATGTCTGATAACGGTGTCTGTCTGAACATGTCTGAACAATTCTGAACATGTCTGAACCGCTCCTTAGCATTCCATCTGATCTGGAAATCTCCAGCTGTCCAGCGGCTTCCAAAGACCTATGCCATTGAGAAAATCGCCCGTATCCAGCAGCAATTGCGTTGAAGCTCACAGTTCCGGGCTGAAGCCTGCCACCCACAACCCACAGTCCGGAAGCCGTGACCAGAAACATTCCCCAATCCATTCGCTTGGTACACTGACTAAATTACCGTAAATGCATGTAAATGCACAATAATGCACTTCTAATGGGACTTGAAACCTCTCATGTTTCACCGTGGGGCGTAACGGCACATCCTGCAACACTGTGCAAAGCGATACAGTGCCCATTGCCATTGATGGTACAGCAACCAAAAACCTGCAACTTGCAGCGTGTGGAATAACATGGTAAAACATGTTGTGTTGAATGGCTATATTGTAGTTACGTAATGTTATGTGTATATATATACACAGTATAATGATGTATAATGCGTCTTCCAATGTCTTGCATGAATCTGCAAATACTGCCACAGACTGCCACAGGAATGCCTGGCGGCTTTGATCTCCGCCGCCAGATCCAACAACTGTTGCCAATCAAGAACATGTTTGGTCTTGGAGGTGAAGTAGGGAAGCCCCTGCAGCTCTCCAATGACTCAGACTCGAATATCAAGTGAATTCCGCGATGGATCTTCAGGCTTTCACAACTAGAATAGTGTAATAGTGATCGGCAGACACACAATTTGTCTTGAGGCTAAAATCAAAGCTAAGCTGGATACAAACAGAGAGCATCATAGAGCAAAGAGATCTGTGTCTTGATTCTTTGTGTGCCAAGTGTGGGTCTTCATTGCTGGCAAGACTGTTAGCTTCAAGGATACTAAGTAGTCTTCTTGTTTCCTAGGTTCAATACACCTTGCCGTCTCTTCACCTGCTTCATTCATCTTCATTCCCAGCAAAAGCCAGACAAAATAAGTGAAGGATGGTCAGCTGCAGCTGCCGCATAAGCTCATGCTTGGCAGCTTGGCAAGGGGACTTCGGACTTCGTCTGGCTGCAGTCCGAGCTAGTGTCAGAGTTTATTGCATTTACCTTGCTTACAGTAGATAGTCTGTGCATTTTTCGGATCATTGCATGCAATGTGGTGTTGCAAAGTTGCAAATTGAATCTCAATTTCAATCGAGTTCAAGCTGTTGTGGCTGAAGGACACTGTTGAGCAAAACACAGCGGGCAAAGCAAGGGAATCGTCAAGCATCTCGATGTAGGACATGTTGTCATACTATTGTACTTTTTGACAAAGAGTAGAAAGGTGTGCTGTCCAAAATTCCAGACCACACTGGGGACAAACTGTGTTCATGCAGGGTCGGCCACAAGCCTGTGCGCGCCCATCTTTTTACACATAACACAGACTTATGACGCAAACCTGGTTGATTCAAAGTAGCTTGATCGAGCCGTTGCGAATATATGGATGATCTTCATGATGTGAGGGTGGCCACTTTGACTCCTTGTAGTGCAGCTGCTCATGAGTGGGCTCTCCCCAGAACAGCATAGTGCCGTTCACCAGCAACGAAAATCTTTGAAAAATGTATTCTGCAAAGTCCAAATCACTACCAGGTCTAATGTAACTGGTGTTGTCAGGGCACAAGTGACCGCTAACATCATGAGCGAGCCCCTGCGTTTCACAGATCTCCACAAAATTTCCCTGTGGACAACTATCCCATGAACGACACGATGTCGTAGCAGACTTTTTGGTCATAATGGCTGCCCCATCTGGACCAGCACCAGTGCAATGATTGAGCAAACTCAAACGAGTTCCGGTGGCTTCTACAAAATATTGGCAAAATGCTTCATCATCACTGCTGCCGCACATGCTGACATATGAAATTGGTCGGGAAATCTCACAATGGTCCTGTGATGTGTCTCCAGAAACTGGGGCAAAGCCACGAATAAGGTGGGTGGCATGGCATGCCAAGTAGTTGACAAAAACGGCTCCATTGCTGAATCCGGTGGCAAAAACCTTGTAGGGATCAGCGCAAGAGTTTTGAGTTGTCCACCGTAATATAGCCTCGACAAATCTCATATCCATCTCATTGTCCTTCCAGCCACATGCGGTGTCATCCTTTTGACGAAGTTTGGGAGTATTCCTGCAGCACTCCCCTAAGCATTCCTGTGGGCAGCAAGCATCAACTCCGTCAAGACCATTTGTCTTGCTCTGATTCAGGCCGAAGGGGAGAACACCAAGCCAACCATAGCGGCTGATATGCTTGGAAAAGTCCATGAACAAATCGAGATACCATGGTGAGTCCGAAAATCCGTGAAAAGCCAGCACTAGAGGTACACCTGGTACACCTGATGTTTTTGAGCCTGCATACTCCTCCGGCACGACCAGGAGAAACTGTCGTTGGATCTCTGGCAGTTGAATCAAGTGCTTTCCTGGAGGATGTGAAGAACATTGGGCGACTTCATGTGCATCATGTACCTGCAATGCGGATACCAAGGCTGCTTGAAGAAGAAACAACCGCATGGGGTTTCGAGGCAAAACGCATACTTCAGGTTCGTTATCGACCCTTGAGCCAAAAACATGACAAAATTGCTCAACATTGCTCAACACAACCACGGAATCATCTCGTCCTTTCTTTCATCGAAAATGGCCACCACTGTGACTTAGCATGAATCAACAAGGCAAGGTTGCAACTACTGAGCGGCTGCTCCTGTTTTTCAGCTGGACACTTGCTTCAACATGCTACAAGTATATACAGTACCCGTAAGATTGCAAAAAGAAGAACCACTAAACAATAAGAACAATCTAGAAAATCTAGAGCCATAAGCAATGCCAAACAACGCGAAGAAACTTGATGCTTGGGGCTAAATCTGTAAGGTCAAGGTGCAGCACAAGCTCCAATGTTTGATCATGCTTGTTTATACGGATATACGGTAGGAATCTGATTTGTTGAGGATTTTTTTCTTTACTCAGAAGCAAACGGGCATAAACATGTGGGACAATTGGCCCTGGGACAAGGTATAATGATAGCCTAGTATTAAAAATCCTCCCCTGGTAATGCCGCACTGCCACCGCTATTGAGAAGAGATTACGTGTCTTGGCCAGCCCCAAATGGCACTGGCTTATGAGGCAAGATATTGCAAGCAATTCCTGATTCTGGTCAACTTTTGCCGCTTGTTGCAAGGGAGCACAGTCGCAGTGGCACAGAAGGGGTTGTATACTGTCAGCTTATTGGAAGTACCCGAAAGTGCGGCAAACGCAAGAATGATTCGACTGACGTGATATGACATGATTATATAATACTAGTATAATATAATATATTATTCAACTTCCCGCCAATCGATTTCTAAGTCTAAGTGGTATCGCAGAAATATCACAGAAAATCATGACAGCTGCCTGTATTTTTCTGAGACATGAAATGACAAGCCAAAGGTCATCTGGTGAGAGAATGTAGCAGCGGAGCATTTGTTTGGGCTGGTGATACGGGCTCCACCAGCACCATAGCTCCACAATCTCAAAGTGTGTTCGGATGATTCGAACCATTGCGAATGTAAGGATGGTCTTCGTGATGTGGAAAGGGCCACATTGACTTCTTGTAACGAAGTTCTTCCGCAGTTGGCTGACCCCAGAACAGCATGCTGCCATCCACCAGCAGTGTGAATTTCTGAAAGGCATACTCTGCAGCATCTAGGTCACTTCCTGGACGAAGGTAACTGGTATTGTCAGGACGCAAATGACCACTGACATCGTGAGCAAGACCTTCCACCATGCAAACCTCCATAAAATTCTTCTGTGGACAGTCCCAAATTTTGCAGGAAGTGGTCGCAGATCTAGCATATGTCATGGCTGCACCATTGGGGCCAGCTCCAGAACAATTATTCTTTGTTGTCAAGAGTTCTGCGGTCTGCCCAACGAGATATTGGCAGTATGCTACATCGTCGGCAGTGCCGCATGTGCTCACATAGGAGATTGGCCGTGAAATGCTACAGCCATTGTCTTTGAACTCCGGATTCCCAGAGACAGGGGCAAAACCACGAATCAAGTGGCTTGAATGGCACGCCAAGTAGTTTACAAAAATGCCCCCCATGCTGAATCCCATAGCAAAGACCTTTTCAGGATCAACACAAGAGTTCTCAGTTGTCCACTTGATCATTGCTTCAACAAATTGCACATCCTTCTTGTTGTCTCTCCAGCCACAAGCAGTTGGACCTTTTCGTCGCAACGACGGGGTGTTCATGCAGCATTCCCCTTGACAATCGGATGGGCAACAAGCACCAACTCCATCCAAACCGTTGTTCATGGTTTCATTGAGGCCAAAGGGCAGGATGCCCAGCCAACCATATCTGTCAATGTGCTGCGAAAAATCAAAGAGCAAATTCGAATACCAGGGCGAGTCTCCAAAGCCATGAAAGGCGAGAACCAAAGGAATGCCTGAAGATCGCACGTCAGTATACTCATGTGGCACAATGAGCAGGAACTGCCTCTGGATCTCTGGGAGTTGTATCAAATGCTTTCCAGCAGGATGTCTAGAACACGGAGGAGCTTCATGCACATCGTGAATTTGCAAAGCAGTCACACATCTGACAGCGACATCAAGGACATGAAGAGCAAGCAGCCATGGCAGCCAGGTTTTGTGGAAGTCCATCCTGGGCTGTGTTCGGTAGCGGGGCTCGGGCTTGGGCCATTCATTTCGCAGGACCGGCGCTGACATGACATCTGCAAGACTGACCTGTTGCAGCATGACCAGTTGCTATTGCTCGGAGAGGCCCATATGCACAGTCGCAAAATTTGGCCAAGAAAATAGGTGGAAGCATCGCTTCCAACTGCATTTTCCACTGAGTCCGATTATATATATCCGATTATTCAACACACCAATTGCTGCAGGAATACAGCACGCGACAAACTCGTAAAGCGCTCTGCATGAAATAAGATGGGAAACATTGCGAAAATGCCGCTGTGCGACAAATCAAGCCTCTACATGTCTCTTGACTCTTGATGTTGGTTGTATCCTGTGTGTTTCAAGATTTTCATACGTCCAACCCGTCCATCGGAATCGCTCATCTCTTTTCGCCGGGCGGAAAGCTATAGCTATCACAGTTATCTGGGTTCACCTGATGCCCGCCAGGTGGCCGCTTTGACCAGGGCAACAAAGGATCTTTACTGATGTTTGAAAGGTACGCCCCAGCACATCCCAGAACCACTTTCCTTGACAATTGACACCAGGATGCGTTCTTTTCAAGATGTTTTTGGGAAGTGCTACTTTCGATCAATGAACATGATCAAACCTTCATTGCATTATGCATCATTTTGACTTCATGAGCAACAGCTCCAAAGAGATCTACAGAGTCCTGCGCAGGATTGTGGCAATTTGCGCCACACGCACGTGACTATGCTCCCAAGCTACGCAGCTCATAGGCACAGAACAACATGGTCAGGATCAAGCCTGTTCAGAAGTTCAATATTGTCTGCAAATGACACTGCAAATGGAGGTAGCAGCTGCCTGCAGCAAGAAATTGCATCCAACATGCTATTTTTTTGGTACCAGTAGAATGTGGGCCAACGCAATAAAACCTTATCATTTATTTGAGACAGGAAAATGATGGAACATGCAAAATCAACGGGTATCGGATGGTATAGGTATCAGCGGCCATATGCACCTCTATCTATACTGCAATTATGTCATCTTGATATACCTAGAATCATATAGATCTTATTAGATCTTGCTTTTCTATTGAATCTATTGCTTAAGGTGACGAGCGGCTCCCCGGCTCCCCACCTGCATCAACAGCTTGTGTCCCATGGACCCGCAAGCGAATGCAGCCAGCTGCCTCAGCAAGTGATAGTGCGTGTATGCGGCTGCTGTTCCATCACTGTGGAGGGATGAATCCGCGATCTTCAATATCGTGCAAGGATTGTGCAAGGTAATTTTGCGCTAAATCAATCCAAATCAGTGATGATCACTCTAGATTTGACAATGGAACCACTTCTTTGCAACATTGCGAGCGGACGGCAACGCACCTTTTTCATCCTCCATTGGTACAATGGTATCAGTAGTCAGTGGTCCACAGATCAAAACGTGCAGCCGTTCGGCATCCTGCTGCAAACACGCATCTTCACACCAGCCTCAAAACTTGCATCAATCGGAAGATCGGAGCCCGCATAAGTCAATTTTTTGCAGCAATTGATTGCACCTCCCATGCGTCTGTATGTGCGAAAGCAAAGGAAAACAATGACTTAGCTGCGCTTGATACCCCTAATAGGCCAGCACCAAATAGCTGAGCTCAGTTTCAGGCGAATTTGAAATTGCTTCTGGGCTTTTGCCTCCTGCAATCCATTTGTGAGATGTGCAATGACCCAGGTGACCCTTTTGCCTTGCTATGGCCTTCCTGCACCGAAATGGACCAGTACCTGGCATGAGATGGCATGAGTATTGAGTATTTATTTCATCTTGTTTCCACGCCGTAGCCTGTATACCGTACCTGTCCTTTCTGCTCCCTGACCGGCGCAGCCCTCAAGCATCTTCACACCAGCCTCAAATGTGGTGGTGGGGGAGTGCTGGTGGTGTTGGTGTCAGTCTTGTTGCTGGGTATGGCCCAGCCACTGCTACATTGCTTCGTGCTCAGCTCGGTACGATTTTCCTCCCTGACCTGCGCCTCCTGCCCAAAAAGCTGCAGAACATGAGCAAATTACGCCTTTCAGTTTTAGCACAACAAAGGCTCACACCATCTCACACCAGCACACAAAGCTAGATTTGCTAGGTTAGCTCTTGAGGAGTCTGCCTTAAACATCTTTCGAATTCTTTAGAGAGAGTATTCCCAAATATTCCCAATCTGGCACCCTGCAGCCTGGTGCAACCTACCAGTCCCACCTCCTCGGGAGTGAAATCGTTCACAATGTTGAACTGCTTTCGAATTTCCTGTGCGCGTTAAGCATCGTTAAGCGACCGATGGATATACCAACCGAGCGTCAAAAATGCCACTGAGGCAGGTGTGGAGTCAGCAAATCTCGTCAGCCACAGTGAAACTTCCAGAGCCATCCGACATTCCTGCCATGTCCCAGGATGTCCCAGGCTCAATTAGAAGCAGTCCTCAGTATTCTTGCCCTTGATCATAGAGGCTACCTTCCAACATGCAGAAAACAGAATACAAACAGCGAAAGTTGCAAAAACACAGTAGAGTCATAATTTTGACCGAAATGGAAGTCAGCACAATGATGCTGATGATACTGAGTAATTAAGTAGCTAGTAGCTAGGCACAAATCATCACAAATCACTCTGAAGCACTCCTGGAACATGTCCCGCACTCAATGCCCCGCACTAAGTATACATGTGTAGTACATACACACACACACACTTTCATTCAGATCATTCAGACTTGACTTACCAGTGCCTTAGCACAAGTCAAGTCCAGAAGGCTCTTGATGTCCAAGTAGTTTGCTGCAAGAATGAGTTCAAAGAGCACCTGCCAACACGATCCAACAGGATTGCAACTATTTATACTAATTTAATCTAATTTACACATATTTCACACTCGAAACTGCTTAACCTCTGCATTCAGACCTTGTACTTAACTCGACCATACTCGACCATTGTATATATTTGTGCGGACTGGACAGAATGCCGTCAGAATGCCTCTTGCTCGATGTTAACGTATTCATTGTCCCATTCCGACACACCGCACCTTGGAATTAATTCGGTAAGCAGTGAGTCTGATGATAGCACAGTGCCCTCTGTTCGTCTCAATTCTCTCGAAGGCATCTCAAGATAAGATTCAGAATTTAGCGCGCAAATCGAAATCATAACTGATATAATTGATCAACAACAACAACAACAACACCAACAACACCCGCACTTGAATCGTCAACCTTCAACGGCGTGTCCTGTACCAATTCATCGAGCTGCTCAACCAAGTTGGTGCTCTTCAAAGGCTTCTGAATTTCCTCTGGTGGACTGTCCTGTCCAAAACAAATAAATAGCGAAGCAGCGGATGGATGTTGATGTGAAAAGACTTATCGACCTGTTTTGGTTCGCAATGGTCAGTAGATGTCAGTAGTCACTCAGTAGTCACTCAGTAGTCCTTGTGGTACTTGCAGTAGTCAATTACCTTCGAAGTGCAGAACGCACTATGCAGAAGCATCTGTGATAAAATTCTGCTTCTGTCAAGCCTTGCTCAGGATCGCCGTCTTGACCTCAGAACGTTTTTTTCCCCCATCCAGCAGGTTGACTGAAAGATAGAACAAAACAAAGTTTGAACCTGCTCTCTGGACCCAACACCAATGCAAAACAAAGAGGGATGGTCAACAGTCAGAACTTTCAGAGACCGAGGACAGGACATTTGGCAGCGGGATCTCTTCATCAGTTCCACTATCGTCCACCATATTTCTCACAAGCGTTGACATGCAGGCCACCTTCACCGCACGATCAGTTTCACATAGTTTCAGTCTGTGCATTTGATGGAATATGATTCATATGATGGAATTAAATTCTCAGTTGCCGTATTTTGCTGTATTGAAACATATTGAAACCTTTAAATTGGACGATTGGCCACACACACACAATATCACACAATTATATACGCATCATGGGATTCGGATGGATTCGGTACCTCTGGCTCAACCTCAAAGATCTCGCCCTGGGAAGATTTGAGCAACACTTTGTCGCCTTCCTTGGCTCTCAGATTTCACGCTGCAACAGCAGGCATCCGCACATATCTGACAATCAATATTCCAAAGTAAGTTGGATGTTGACAACAATACTACCAAATAATATGCCATGTGTTATTAGTCATTATTGTCACACTAGTTATTCTGGTGTCTTGGACAATTGCTATTTGCGACATGACATGTGATTGCGGCAATTACCGTAAAGACCCTTCAAGTACTGTTTGCAAACCAAAGCTTTGGTCCGCCTTTGCTTGCCCAGATTCAGGCATGCTTGGCGGATCGAGTTGAGCAAAACAACAAGCGTCTTGCAGCAAGTTTTGGGCCAGTTGCTGCAAAAGTGTCAAGTCCAACTGGTTCATCCAGCTCCTGCTGGTTGTGAACACTGCCAACTGATGTTTCTTGCCCGTTGGGACACAACTGGGTAAAATAACGAAGGATAATTGACAGCACAACTAAATAAACGCTTTCTGAATTTCTGAAGCCATAGAAAACAGCTTAGCTTGTGCTGCTCATATCATGATTGTTAAATCTAGTATCATGCTGATGCTTGTATAAAAGTGGTATGACACTAGGATTACTCATAGCAAATCTGGACCAGGCATTTCAGATATTTCAGTACCGCCAAATCTATGGCTGTAATTGCAAAAGGAATTATAAGAACTGACATATGGGTCACGGGATTTTTCTTCATTGTGTCCGGCCAATTGCAGCTTGATGCAGCTTGCGAAGGAACCACAATCGCTTGACATCTGCACACCCGGTGTCACCCTACTCGAATCATTTCAACTGCTGCAATTTCCTGGGGAGTTGACTTCAGGAAAAGGCAGGTCTGATACTTCAAAGGGCTCGCCATCAGCCAAGGTATCCTGAGGTATCGGACAGCAAACACATGCAAAAACTGGTCCGGAATTCAGTAATCGATTGGAAGTGGGAAACCCTGCACAAAAACTGCAGAAAAAAGATAATCTTGCGCTTCAACTGTCTCACGACATTCAGACTCAGTCATCTAGAAGATTGGAACATATTGGAACGGCATTCGCACACACAGACAGACGGATATCTATATATGTCGATTATATAAACGTATCACATCATATCACCGTATCATCACAAATCATCAATCATTACCTTTAAGACATCTGATACCATCCAGCTCCTGGCACATATCAGTGAAAAGCACTGCATGATCTTCGAAGACACCATCAACGAAGTATCTGACCTGTCAGCTGTGTGCATTGAGAATAATCATGATGATACTGATATATGAATACATGATAATATGATTAATATGATATGTCTCTCTGATGAATGTATGCGCCCGCCCTATTTTCATTTATTGTCACTGTCTCATACTGTAGTGTCTCTTTGAAGCTGACACCGCAGGCAAAGGCTGTGGCCTCTCCAAAATTGCCACCTCTCATCATGAAACGGCACGACCTGGCGCGGAGAGTGCCGAAATGTGCTTAATACCAAGGCCATCCGATGCCGACAATTCTGTTGGCAACGAGATTGAGGATGAAGTTTGTGACCTTCTGGGTGGGTTAAAAATGGTCACATATGGTCATAATTACTATGTTGTACTACGTCTTGTATACTATAGTATATATAATGATATATAAAGAATGTTCAAGAACAGAGATGAACAGAGCTGTGTGAGTTTGGAAGTCATCTTATCATTTTTGGCTTGCTGACCAAGCCTTTTTGAGGGCCTACAGCGTAATTTAAGATATTTAAGATGCCAATGCTTGTCTATGCCATGCTGACTGCCATGTCATGCTGACTGCCATGCCGTGCCTGCTGTGATCTCGGCCCATGCGACCAAAGAACTCACCATTGCCATTGTAGATATCAAACTCCAAACCTTAATCGGGTTAAACACGTCAAAAAGCAAAACACGTAAAGAGTTGGAAATGCAATTGTTTGAATGGTGCTGGTATTTGGTGGTATTTGTGTGGGAAACTCACGCATCATTCATCCATTCAGGTGCTGAAAAGTCTTGGTCACGCTGAGGTTGGCTGCTTTGCTCATCGGCACGTACCAAGTAACCTCAAAAAGCACGAACTTGATGACACAACTTCAGGAATTGATCCGATCGTTGGTGTTTTAGGCCAGGACAGGCAGACAGGATTTGAATATCTTCCTCTGCAGCCTCTGCATTCTCCGCAACATTTTCTTTGTCACCTTCATCTGACCTGGAACTTCAGAAATCATAAGTTTGGCCAGGGCTTCCAGGGAAGCTCATAGATTCGAACATATTCGAACCGCAAGGATAACAACACAATTCCCACTGAGTAGATGCGGTTTGATGTCTGGCCTCTGTATTTCCATTGGCAACCTGCAAGCCCAGCTTGAATGGATGAAATGGTCTTGCAAACCCGCACGATCCGGTGATAGCCGGCACTTTGAATAGCCAAGCGAATAGCACAGGTGTCACATTTGGATGCATTTCAGCCATCACAGTTTCTACAGCCAACTGAGAGGAAAGGAACACAGCAAAGTGTGAATGGACAAAGACGGATAAACGATAAATTAGCAAAACCCAATCACAGACGCAATCTTCAGGTGCTGACGAGGTCAAGACTACGCTTGGTCTTTGGGTGCCCCTGCCAGACTCGAACACAGCAAACGATTGTGCCGCAAGCTCGACGCTTGACGTATCTTGACGTAGAACCATGGAGCATGAGCTTAATGGCAAGTCTGACAAGCCATATCTCTCCGGACAAAAAGGGTGGCCTTTCCATGCTACTGAGACAAACATTTTCAGGAGGCCAAAAGTCGCCAATCCTTGGCAAATTTGGCAAGCAGTTTTTGCTAACCCACATGGGCGGGCGGCGGGAGGTCATTCTCAGATGCTTTCTGATTTGTGGCATACTGTCTCTGTGGATTCACAACTGTTTGTATTTGATTGTATTTGCATGATTCGTCACTGGCCATGCAAGGCTGGAAGGTTTCGTTTCACCTTGTGTTTTCCTTAGACTTAATCGTGCTGCAAACGATTGCACTCTTGGCTCGTCAGCCTCGTGATTCTCTGCCTTGACATGCGGGCCTTCTAGAGTCAGAACGACATAGATCGACATAGTAAGCTTCCAACATTGGGCTGAAGCCCGGCAGGGCTTCACACTCTTGCCCCCTGTAGACCTGCAACACTTCGGCCGACGACATCAGTAGCGCAAAATTCCGCACAGCAAAAGGATGCACATGGATGACCGACATGTTACAAGACAACGTAACGACTAGGCCCGCTCTGCCTCCGCCTTTAGTACTGGGCGCTGATCAAGCGCCAAAATGCTCATTGAAACAGCTGGTAAGTCCTTCCGCTGCGATGCAAACATTCAAGCAACTCTTGCTATCAAAACGCTATCAACATTTTAAGTGAGGCATGCTTGAAGCATCTTGAGAGACTAACAAATGCTAAAACTCGGTATCTTATCCTCAATATCACTTCACTCCGCATCAGGTCAGTGCAGCACCATTTCTGCGCATTTGCCATTTTACAAGTATATACTTAAGCAGCATGTTAAGCCTCTAGACGCACTTGGTTTCCATATGATTCAAGATTGCTTCTAAAATCTTCCCAAGGCCCCTAGGTGAGGACCATGCTTATGCACAAGCATCAGCATATTCCAATAATGTCAAACTGCCAAAATCAGTCGGTGCTAGACTGGTACAAACTCCACCTGGTCGGCAATCGGCACTGCCATGGCACACTCGCTGCTGGGATCTACCATCATCCTTGGCAAAGGAGTTTAAATTCCTTGAATATCCTTGAATCATTACCCGGACTAGCGGTCAAGGAAGACACCACACAGCATCCATCAATGATGAATCAACCATAATCCACCATTGAAAAATATTGAACAGAAATAAGTACAAATATAATCAAATATATAGGTTGAAACAAGTTGATAGCTGGGATAAGCTGGGGCCCGTGCCAATGGCATAAGGTCTCCGAGGTGGGGTCGAAGGGCGGATCGAAAGTGGGCTGAAAAGCTAGGTCTCAGATACGATCCAGCAGTGAGTCAGTAGCAGTCAGTAGCCGAAGAACATCAGTAACATCAATGGAAAGCATCACACCTTGCCATACCTTGCCCTCTTTTGGACAGAAAAAACATGAACAAACTCAACAGCTGGGAGAAAGGTTGCTTAGACGCTACTAGCGTCTGCCAGGAATCAATTACTGACTGAGGTCAAGATATGGCAAGGGACTGACGATCAAGAAAATGGAAAGCATCATACTGCCTGAATCCTTAAAGCCTTATAGCAATAAGATCTAGGATGCAATAGGATGATAGTGGTGATGCGAAGGTGAAGCTTTCGCAACAAACAAAGCAACAGGCAAAAAGATCATGCTCGGCGAAACAAGAAAACGCAAGGGCAACTTGAACATATGACTTCAATTATGGAGCTTGAAGATCCAATGGCAAGTTTTTTACTAAACCTCATTATACATATGTAGCAATGTAGGCTGGTCATGATGAGACAGGACTGCATGATAATGAAAAACATTGAAAAACCTTGGGCAACGGAACAAGCTATTGACCACTGAGCCCAAATATCATGGCCACGTGGCCCTTATTGGCTATTTGATGCTATTTGCAGATTGCTGATCACGTGATGAACCCAAACCCTCGCGTAAAGCACGAGAAGGCCAGGGGAGTAAGCCACAATAACTTTCACTATCTTTCACTCAGTCAATCCCGGAAGGTCCTCAAGCCTTGTGATCTCTTGTCAATTGAACTTCTCGGAGCCCTCCTAGTCCGCTAGTCCGCTAGTCTGTACACCAAATCTTTATGTCAAACTAAGTTTGTCACAATCGCTTGCAAGTGGCCCGCTTTCCGGCACCTTCGGTTTACGAAAGCTTCTCTGTGTCAAAAACCTACACGTTTTAAGGGTGGAATGCAACAAGGCTGAGAAAACCATGGATTTACACCATTTCTAAAGGACCAAAATCATCCAAAATCACTCTCACCGTCTGAAAACATCAGCTTGAATATCTTGAGTTGATATCGCAACACATCACAATATCACAACATATCACAACATATCTCAAGGCAACTGAATCTGAACAGCCCGAACTTTCCTAGGCTATCGAGGTCTTGGGTGCTGGCCTCTGATGCCCCCAAATTTGGAAACGCGAAAGGCCTTTGCCCACTCAAGTCTCGACTTGAAGATGCTTGAAGTAGGCGCGAGGATTCTGTAAATCATCTTGAAAAATATCTGATTCAATTTGATTCATTTTGATTCATCATAAACCTGGGAATCTCACGGCAAAGAAGTATCTGCCTGCGTGTCAACGCTGAGTTGACACAAGGCTCTTGCGGCGACACCCCAAATTTCTTCCCACCCTGGATCCAAGTACATGGACATTTCGATAGACATCGGAGGATTTGCCTCTTGATCTGGAAATAGTGGCAAGCCGCTTGGTGGCTCTTGCCCTTCCGGAACTCAGTGGAGATTGGACACGTCGGACAAATCAAGCAATTAGAATTGAGACTTCGAAAAGCCTGGTGCGGTCACGACGGTGCTGATCTGCCACAACATGCAGCAACAGCATTGTAAGGATTAGTAGCGAATTTTCAATTTGGAGCTCAAGGCACCGGAGATCTCATCAGGCGTCTCATCGGCACATGGCCTCAGTGTGGAACGCAAAATCATGCCTGGACAGCATGACAGCAACAAGGCTGGAAATGCCTTCCTGGCAAAACACGTGAGAAAACTTGGCTGAGCTCAACCATTTGATGAGTGTTGGCCTCTAGATTTGGTGTGCTCTATACAAATGGGCCTGTCTTGGTATGGGAAGTTGGTAACATTCTACAACATTCTACAACCTCCTTTAGCAGTCTTTAGCCTTATAGCAGCCTTAGCAGTTCAAAGAGTGTTCAAAACACCTCCCAGCTCAACTCAATTCTGAGGCCAAAGCGATGGGCCTCCTCCCCAAAACGGAGGGAAGGCTGTAAGCATTGGCGGCAAATGCGCAGCGTTCTCCTTCACAAGTGAACACGTCTGTCACGGGGTTCTGTCAGAGACTGTTGTCAGCTGGGCCGGCGTTCATTCCCACAAACGCTGTCATGTTTGTGCAAATGGCATGTCAAGTGCGCGAATCAGTGGAAATCTGTTGATGGAACGATTCCACAATTGCTCCAGCGTCCTACTGTTTTCAGGAACTGTCATGAAAAGGAGTTGTGTAAATACCAAATCCCCAAAACGAGCACCGAACCATGACTCAATCCACTGCAGAAAATGCTGCCTAAAACAACACAATTCCCATCATAAGTTAAGTCAATGTATCTAATCAATATTATAGGATCCAACATGATTGCTGGCGACTGGTGGATCTTGCGGCACTAATTAGCAACTATAACAACATACACAGGGTGCATGTCATAAGTTATAGGACCATAGGATGTTATAGGTCTCTCTCTCTCTCTCTACATTTATAACTATACAAGATTAGACAAGTACGTTGTAAGCCATTGCATTATGACGACAACTATAAGCCTTTCATAGCCTTTTATTTACTATATGTCCAACTGTTCTCAGTTGTCGACTGTGCAGGCCTCTGCACCATCCTGCAATGCACAACACTTGTGCAGCCAGAAGCTAAGAACATCTGTGGGTCAGTCAATATATCAAGCACTATCAAGATCTATCAAGCAATATTATTCATATGGCTTGTCATAGCTTGTCCAAACATGGAGGTGCCCAATTTCTGGCCACTTTTTCCTCATGGGATTTGGACAATTCACCGTTGTGGATGGAGCTGATACGTGGGCAATTATTGGCACCAGTGCACTACCGTTTTCTTCGCGAGGATGTCTAGCGGTACTTCGAAACTCACCTAATCAAAAGTAACAAGATCGATCGGTGGGATCAAATCGGACTAAAGTCGAGGGAACCCTCCAGGTCCCGGCCTACAAGGACAACATGATCCTGACAAGGATCAAAACAAGGATTGGAGCCAAATGGAGCCAAAATTTGGCCCAAGTGCCCAGCTTGAAACCCTACGTTGGGCCATGTTGGGCCAGCATGGGCTATGAGCAACAGATTCCTCAAATATATTCAAATATCCTTCAATCATCTTCAATCACTTCCTGTTCTCGTCCATGAAGGACTTCATAAAGTCAGTTAGCTTGGCCACACCTTCCAATGGCATCCCATTGTAGAGAGAAGCTCGGCAGCCGCCCACGGAGCGGTGTCCAGCGAGAGTAAAGAGCTTGTGCTTCTTCGCCTCGTCCAAGAACTTCTTCTCAAGCGCCTCATCTCCTCCATTGATGGTGAAGGGCACATTCATGCGGGACCTGCAAGGCATCGCAAGATATAGCAGGAATAGAAATACAAGTAATAGAAATAGCATAGCAGGACAAAATGCTGAAAATTGACTGATACAGTACTCAGCTTTTCATGACTGGGAACGCAGTAACTTATGTTCAGACACAGCGAATTCCAACACAACAAAATCAACCAACAAAACAAACCATTTTTTCTCATCTTTCATTTAGACTAAATGACATCGCGGAGTTGAAGCAACACGTTCATTTGAATGGTCATCACATTTCACTACAATGCACTGGCCTGGCAGTCTTCTCGACTGGACAATTGTAGAAGCCGTTGGAGCTGTCAATGGTTCCATAGAGCAAGCTGCTCTTTTTGTCTGATTGCTCCGCCCAGTGTGCAACTCCACCAACCTTCTTTGTGTACTTGAGGTACTCACCCATGACGTACATAGTGAAGCAAGCTGGCGTGTTGTACATGGAGCCATTGTCTCCAGTCGTCTTGAAGCTGCAGTAGGTGGGACAAATCTTCAACTCCTTGCTGCCATCTGCAAAGTCTGGACGGAGAAAGCCAACTGACATTCCAGCTGGGCCGAGGTTCTTCTGGATCCCTGCGTAGATGAAAGCATGTTTGCTAACTTCAATTGGTTTGGAACAAAAGTTGGAAGACATGTCCGCAACCAAAGGCACATCACCCACATCAGGAGTGTAGCTGAATTCTACGCCATTCACGGTCTCATTGGCACAGTAGTGAACGTAGGCAGCCTCTGGATCCAGTTTCCACTCTGACTTCTGAGGGATTGTGGTGAACTTTGTGGATTTGGTGTTGCATGCCAATTGTCCGGTCCCGTACTTGTTGCACTCCTTGTGTGCCTTCTCACCCCACTGTCCAGTAACAAGGTAGTCTGCCTTGGTCTTGGTTCCCAGCATGTTCAATGGGATCGCGGAGAATTGAAGAGTGGCCCCACCTTGCAGCATGAGGACCTTGTAGTCGCTTGGGACGCCGAAAATGTCCCTCAAATCCTTTTCCGCTTCAGCCGCAATGGCCATGAATTCTTTGGAACGATGCGACATCTCCATGACGCTCATGCCACAACCCTTGTAGTTCACCATTTCCTTCTGCACTTCTTCCAAAACCTCCAATGGCATCACACTGGGCCCTGCCGAGAAATTGTACACACGGCCTTCAGCCATTTTGAGAGATCTGCCGGATGAAGTGACAGCTGGCGTGCTGGACAATCCTAGTACTGTCGTATATCTTGGGCAAAACGGGCAAAATGAGGCATGAAAGTCACGAGGATATACAACGACAACTCTGAGCCTGTCTATAGTCACACATCTGTTCACGCTGGTTGCTTTGCACGATAAACCGCTAGCCGCTAGCATCAGCTGCTTTGAAGTTCTGCAGATTCTATAGGACCCTAGGAAATCTAGGAATCAAGGGACCACGTCATCAGAATGAATTTGCAACTTTGCATGGAGGAGAGTTTGGCCTGGCCTGAGAGGTTGGATGGGCCTGTGATTTGGGCGCAGCTGGAGGTACCTGAGAGCAAGTTCGCAAGGACTCTAGTCCCTTCCCAATAACATGCAGACAGTAGTTCGAAAACGTTCAAAATTTATTCAGCTAGATTCAGTCCAGGCTTGAAACATGAGATGACAGGCCTGGGGCAAATAAGCGGACTCCCAAGGTCGCTGCGCATTGGCTGCCTGATGCAAACAGAAATGATCAGAAATGCATCCGCAGGAGGATAAGACCATGCGGTTGTAGAAAAAAACATAAGAAAACTTGTTGAATTAGAAAGACAGAATAGGACGTATATAGCCCGATTGCTCAAAACCAGCATCTGCAATCAGTGTCAAATAGTTCAAAAATGTTCAAAAAAGTCACGAACCGTCAGAGTAATTACGTTACAGTGAACAGCATTGAAGAGCAGCTTGCAGCCTGTTTTTCCATTTTGCGCGCCTTGACAGTGCTTGAGGAAGCAACCCTCAAAGGCTGTGCTGGTGACTGCGATAGCGGGTGCTGTACCTGGGAAAAACGACCAACTCCACGGCATAGAATATCAAGCCAGCAAATAGAAAAATGTGAGAAGATATGAGAAGGATTAAGAAGAAACAAACATAAACGCGATCTGAAAGCTTGCAGTGGCTTTGGAAGGAAGTCTTAATGCTTTGACGTTTTCTGATGTTTTCTGCATGCAAAGCTGGAAACCGTTTCCTGGTGAGGGGAATGGGGTAAGGATCTTCAACCGAAATGGAACTAGGATGAACAATGATGTATTATCATGATGTATTGAATGCATTCCTGAGATCCTGCCTCTTCTGGAATGGGCTGTCGCAGCAAAGTGGCCTCCAAGCGGGTTGTCAAATTTTGTCAAAGTGTTCCAGTATGTCCGAACTGTTCAGTACAATCAGTACATTGCATCTTTCTGACATAGCATATATAGCTATAGCATGATGTGAAAATTCCAGGAATCCACGGAATCCACCCTGCTAGCCAAGCTCGGAGCGACACTGAATCTATCTGAATTTGGCATGTGGCAATATGTAACAATATGTGGCATATGGTTATGATATCTTATGATAAAGTCGGGGTGGAACTTTCAGATACTTCATGGCTGTTTTGTGTCGTTCATGCCTGTGCTGGCAGGCCACCTGCAGAGTCCTGACTAGTGCGCAAGTCGGGAACAAAACGAAACCAATGAGGAGGGCAGTGGCCGCATACCAAGGAGCCTGTGGGCATTGAATAATTTAGAATCTAATGGTAGTGCTATTTGGTTAAATGGAAAGAAACAAGCATGGAAAAAACATGGCAGAAATGGCCTGCCACACATGCATTGTGAGAAAAACGCACATATTCATTGACATACTAGTAGTGACACAGCACCCTCATCCTTCTGTTACAATAATGTTTGATGATGTTTGATTCTCACCATTCTCAACCAAATACCTACAACTTCTTACAGCTTCGTAGGTTCGATGACTCAACAGTTGCGCAACCCATTAAAACCCAAATGATACTAATTACAGTACTACTCAGTACATGGAATGCTGGCCTGAGATTAAGTCATCCCAGCAGAATGCTGACATGCCCTTCCATAAAGCAAATCACAAAGGAATCATGAGGAGTCCCACTCCTGCCATGATGGAAGAGTGCTGCTTGGCTGAGACCAAGTGTGAATGACTGAAGCAGGTGGAACCTGCAAAGAGCGGCACCAAATCTCTGGAAAAAAACAACATTGGCAAGGCAGAATCAGAACACAAACACAGTTAGTTGTAGTTAGTTGTGCCAAGTTCAATAAAGTGGCCAAATATCGTACTATGAAAGTTGAGCTTCAAACTCAACCTGGGGACATTACCTGCTGAGAGAGCGCAGTGGTTGTTGTGGAACACAATGAGTTGTTTCCTGCCAGCACTTGAGTTTGACGCGAGGATAATCAGAGCAGCAGGAAAGTAGCAAGGGCATACACTCACCCATTCTGGCCTTGCGGCTGCGGCCTTGCAGCTCAACTGAAAATCCATGAAAACCCTCTTCACTTGACCGAGACTGCCCCAGGCCCAACCCGTGTTATTACTTCTGGCTCGATCCAGATTTGAATTGTGCTGAGAAATCGACGCAGCTTGGCGAAGCCTCTTTGTCTCTAATGTTTTGTGAGCCTGAACCTCAGTCGTTTTTCATACCGAGAGGCCCACCTCCGATTTCCATATAGAGTTTGACATCACTGATGCACTTGCATTGACGGAATCTATGCGACACCTGCAACGCACATAGCAAAGGCTTTGAAACATTTTGAAACTTTTTCCATCTTTCTCCATCCCAAGCCGCTAAGCCTCTGAAATCTCTGAATCCATGTTCTCGCCAAAGCAAGTGAGAACGGCCAATAGACCTTGGTGCGGTTCGCAGGCGAACTTCGCAATACTTCGTTCCATGTGCCTCGACTGCAATCTTCTGCATAGCTTCATCCTTTCATTTTCCTTCGTCCTTTCCATGTCAAAACATGTCAAAACCTACAAGTAACCCTAAAACATCCTAAAACCATTGTCAAATATTTTTACTATATTGTTAAATTGTATCCAATTGTCCCATTGCAAATCGTTCAAAGTGGGGCAAGGTGAACTGGGACATCAACGGGTCCATGGTCACTTGCGACCCTAAAAAACGGTCACTTGTGACCCTAAAATCCCCGGTCACTTGCGACCCTAAAAAACGGTCACTTGCGACCCTATTCCTTTAAAAACTCTCACCCCCCCTGCGTTCCACCATGCAATTGTCTCCTTTAAAAACTTTCCACCATGCAATTGTTTGGTTGGGGGGGAGGGATCATTCTACTTACATCATTACTTGACTCAGCCATTTAGGGTTTGGTTGGGGGGGAGGGATCATTCAACTTAGATCATTACTTGACTCAGCCATTTAGGGTTTGGTTGGGGGGGAGGGATCATTCAACTTAGATCATTACTTGACTCAGTCATTTAGGGTTTGGTTGGGGGGGAGGGATCATTCTACTTACATCATTACTTGACTCAGCCATTTAGGGTTTGGTTGGGGGGGAGGGATCATTCAACTTAGATCATTACTTGACTCAGCCATTTAGGGTTTGGTTGGGGGGGAGGGATCATTCTACTTACATCATTACTTGACTCCGCCATTTAGGGTTTGGTTAGGGGGAGGGATCATCGTACTTACATCATTACTTGACTCAGCCATTTAGGGTTTGGTTGGGGGGGAGGGATCATTCAACTTAGATCATTACTTGACTCAGCCAGTTAGGGTTTGGTTGGGGGGGAGGGATCATTCAACTTAGATCATTACTTGACTCAGCCATTTAGGGTTTGGTTGGGGGGGAGGGATCATTCTACTTACATCATTACTTGACTCAGCCATTTAGGGTTTGGTTAGGGGGGAGGGTTCATCTACTTACATCATTACTTGACTCAGCCATTTAGGGTTTGGTTGGGGGGGAGGGATCATTCAACTTAGATCATTACTTGACTCAGCCATTTAGGGTTTGGTTGGGGGGGAGGGATCATTTACTTACATCATTACTTGACTCAGCCACTTAGGGTTTGGTTGGGGGGGAGGGGTTATACATTACTTGACTCAGCCATTTAGGGTTTGGTTGGGGGGGAGGGATCATTGTACTTAGATCATTACTTGACTCAGCCATTTAGGGTTTGGTTGGCGGGGAGGGATCATTCTACTTACATCATTACTTGACTCAGCCATTTAGGGTTTGGTTGGGGGGAGGGAACATTGAACTTAGATCATTACTTGACTCAGCCATTTAGGGTTTGGTTGGGGGGAGGGATCATTCTACTTACATCATTACTTGACTCAGCCATTTAGGGTTTGGTTGGGGGGGAGGGATCATTCTACTTACATCATTACTTGACTCAGCCACTTAGTGTTTGGTTGGGGGGAGGGATCATTCTACTTACATCATTACTTGACTCAGCCATTTAGGGTTTGGTTGGGGGGGAGGGGTTATACATTACTTGACTCAGCCATTTAGGGTTTGGTTGGGGGGGGAGGGGTTATACATTACTTGACTCAGCCATTTAGGGTTTGTTTGGGGGGGAGGGATCATTGTACTTAGATCATTACTTGACTCAGCCATTTAGGGTTTGGTTGGGGGGGAGGGATCATTTACTTAAATTTAATACTTGACTCAGC